CGTCAGGCCGGCGAAGGAGAGAGAGAGCTCTTCCTCTTAGAATTATTATACAACTTCCACGATTTCGTATATATATGTGTCCACTCTGCTAACAAAACGTCTGCATATATGTTGTCGAACAAGCTCCTAACAACGGATCTAGAACGTTCAATTTCAGTCATTTCACACGAAAATACTGAGGATGTGAAGCAATGTTTATTTTCAATATTCCTGGTGGAGTGATCAATTGACAATTTATTGGAATAGCTCAGTTATATCTGGCTTACTAGTACACGAACACGGTGTCCGAGCGGTCGAAAGCGTTCAAAATCACTAAACAGCCGTTCACGATACCAATTTGCTATCGATTCAAATCCGGCAGGGTTGAGCATTTTTCTTAGATATAATCATGGCAGCACTTCGGCGCCCTAGAAGTGATTCGTAATCCACAATAAGCTGTAGGTCCCGCTCCTCCTAACCCCGCACAAGTTCCGACTTCAGAAGACCTACTTTAAAATTTCGAAGTAGATATACAGGGTGTCCCAGAATAACGTTCGTATACTCTGGGAGATAATTCTACAGAAAAAGTATGAAAAAATGTTCCTATCAAAATGTTGTGTCCAAAAATGCTTCCTAAGGGCGCTAGAGCCCTTTACAGGTAGGTCCTTAAATGCTAATTTCTTCGATTATCTTTGTTATCATCGATCCAAGAATAACAAAATTTTGTACTTTAGGGTGAATCGATCTTACAAATCGTTTCGTGGTTCAGAAAACATGTTATAATATACATTGAAGTGTGAAACTCGTTTCCGATGCTATGAAGATGCCCAGTTTTTTTGTTTCAAGATTTATCTCATTTCTACTACCAGAATATGATTCTTCAAACACTAATACATGAAAAAGGTATACCGTGAAACGAAACGTTATCGAGATAAAACTAAAAATTCTAGTCAATTTCTATAATGGATTTCTCATCAAGTTAACATCACGAGTAGCTCTAATAAAACGAAACTAACTAGTAATGCAGAATTTTAATTATAAAGTTTCAATTTTATATATATTTATAATAATATCTTGGAATAAAAAAAACTTGGGGCATTTTTATAGCATCGGTTAAGAAATGTAATGTGATGTAAATTTAAGATGGATTCACCCTATATGGTACAAATTTTCGTGATTCTAGGATCAATGATAACGAAGATAACTGACAAAACTGCATTCAAGGAAGGTTTCTATTCTAGCGCCGTTAGGGAGCATTTTCGGACTCATAGGAACCTTTTTCCCTATTTTCATCTGCAAAATTACCTTGCGGCTTTGCCGGAGTACACGAACGTTATTCTGGAACACCCTGTATAAAAAAATTACAAATTTTAACAAACCTCATCAGGTAGAGACACTTTTAGTGGCATACCCTGCTCACCATCTACCAAGGAATCACTTACATTCTACGAGGCAAGATTCGTAGACAATCCCTTCTTCTTCCTGATATATGTCCAGATTAAAAAAATCCAATTCTTCATAACTTTCCATCGAAACACTTCCGTGACGCCTTGGACAATATTCTGAGCTTAAATGAGCTCAAGTTTTTCAGTGTGTCAAATAGCCTTCTTATATTCATATATATTCTTATATTTCAAAATGTAGGCGCATGATATTCGAAACGTCCTGCGACTTTCTGAATATGATACACATTTATTATTTGCCAATTAAGTATTCTATCATTGATTTCCACGGAGATTTTCGACTCGCAACAGGATATATTATATCTACTGTTTATGATACAGTTACTATAGGAACATTGAATGAGGACGAATAATATTAGTGGATCTTTTTCAAGGACGACATATTGTATCATCGTGGGATGGCGTCCATATAAGTTTGGAGAGTACCATAATGACGGTATCCTAGAAAAATCTTGAGAAATGATTTTCTTTGAGTCATGTTTCTTGATTGCATGCTTGAAGCATAGAAAATATGATACTCAAAAATAGTAATGCAAATTTTGGCTAGTAAGGAACGTTGTTTCTATCGGTTATATATTCGTTTCTTGAATTTTGGTGATAACTGTGAAATGCTTGCCCCATTATAGCCATCAATATGTATTTTTAGGAAATAGTGTGATCAATTCCTGAGTTCGAATGAGTTGGATACATTTTCAATTACGAAAATTACCGCAATTGACAATTATTTCACAAACAATTGCCACGAAATTCTTGAAAACACAAAATAATCTGATAACAGTTGCTTTTCCAAGTGAGGAATTCACACAAAAAATTTTGCCATATAGGAATTTCAAAAAGCTACTGTGGGTAGCCAAAATATGTAATTCCAATTAGGTCATGAGAATCTTGTGAAATATTTTTCGATTACTATGGATTTCCATCAAGTAACGGCCTAGTCAATTCTAAATGAGCAAATAACATATTTCACTTTTTTGTCTTTTGTTCTCCAGAAATTTCAGTGATATGATATTTCACAGAGCGAAATGTGACCATTTCGCCATGGTGGGTTGGAATCTTGTGACACTGGAGTTTGTGACATTATTATAGGTAGTTATCTTATTTTGAAACTATTCAAAAGATTTCATCACGAGTTCAGATGCCCTGGACGAAATTCAAAGATAGCAAATATTTATAGGTTTGCTTGTGATTCGATATTTTGAAAATTAGGAAAATAGCATTGAATACCTGATCAATAAAATAAGTGAGCAAATAATCAATATACCTAAACTGATCAATGAATAACAAGTAGTTGAACAAAAAAACATGCCATTCGTTGTATATATGGTGAAGAAAGTATACAAAGAATAAGTTGGTTGCATTTCCGGTATGAATTCGATAATAAAAAGATTATATATGTACAGTGTGATCCAGATAAGACTTATATTATCCTTATCTCGGAAATCGTCGAAAAAATTTAAATTTGCTCGGACAGGTCGATTTTAATTTGGCAGGGGATACATTTTTTTGTAATTATCCTATCCCAAAACTGAAACCCTGAAGCAGAGTGGGCATCAACTTTCGATTTTCAAATAGAACACCCTGTCGTATTTCATCCTATGACCGTTTAGGAATAATTATGATTACTTATCCAATTTGATGAGATTATCTCGAACGGCTACGGAGATATAGTTGATTGATTTCTCAATATACTCCATGAGTGTGACGGAGAAATTCATGCTGGCGGAGTTACAGGTTCGATCCGATCTCTGCGTCCCCTCATGGAGCAAGTTGAAAAATCAATCACCTATATCTTCATTGCCGTATTTGAGAAAACCCTATCAAAGTTGGTATCGTTGGATTTGAATTATTTGTAATCATAATCACTAACTGATCCTGAAATGAAATACAGGGTGTTCCAACTTTCAGATATAATAATTACGGAAAAATATGTACCCCGCCAAATTAAAATCGACCTATCCGAGCGATTTTCAATGTCTTTAACGAGTTCGCAGATTGGAGGGTGAAAAGTTTTAGCTGGGACACACTCTATATTTATATCGAGTTGATATTTGAATGGACCCTAATAAAGAAGGTGATACTGTTGATATTTCATAAATTATAACTCGACTTTCTGTCCTGAATTCCTTCCAGAGGCCAAATTTGACTATTTATACATTTGAAAGATTACCTATAATAAAAAATATATTTCTTTTCATGGACTCCTTCTGTTTGTTTGTCAAAAAGTCAATAAAGAAAATATATTAATGTACCTATTATTGCTGGTTTTATTACCTATCACCCCATCCCAACGTTTATACATATATTAAGCGAGTCGGGAGGAATGTACCTATATTCTACACACATTCTACGAATTTGAAACAGCTCGATTGTTTTTATCATTTTCAAAAAAAGTTACGATAAATCAACATCAGACTCGCCCTCTTGGCATTCAACTGGAATCACTAGTTCACAGAATATATACAATCATAAGTTGTAGACGAATGTGAATGTAATATTCATATTATTTGCATATGAAGAATAGTTTTACTCTTGAAGTTTGGTGCGTTTCTCCGACTCAATCTGTATAATAGAAAAATAATATTTTCTGTTCGTCCATATTCAATCTGAGAAGTCAAGAGGTAAAGTATATTCAGGAATTAATTCAGCATTCTGATTTTCACATCGATTTGAGAGTCGCTAGCGCCATCTAACGGAAAGTATCGTAAATCTCTAGGATAATGGGACAAACCTCTAGCTTCCGATGCAGCTGGCAAAAAAAGTCGCTGAAGATTTCTACAAAATAGTCATCATAAGGAAACTACAGCAAGTACCTATCGGTATTGACCCGGTATTGACCAACGTGATACCAGAAAATGCGTAGAAAATCCACAAAAGTAGCGACACCTATTTCGAAATTTTGAAACTGCTATGGAGATATCGAACGAATCGATATCATTGTTTGGGCACTGCTGAGAGTTCGCGACTTATTCACACCAAGTATCCCTCTTTCGATTTTGACAAAACACGCGAAGGAGGTCACCTATCATATGCATTTCGAACTCTTATATCGGAATTGAAAACCAGTTTGAAGCAGCGCCATCTATCGAACATGTTTGGCAATAAGACCTCAACAACTTCATTTAGGTGTTAATATCTGTCGACAGATATCGATTGAGTTTAGTTAGGCACAAATATCAATAGAACTTTGAATCGACCAGAAAAATAATTTGGTACTCATATCATTCCGTTTGAGACAAATTATTGACTACACATGCCATCCCTATTTTGGGTGAGATATAATTGGATACGCAGAAAATCGATGAATGATAATAATTAATGATCTCCTATTGAATTTGAAAATCTGGTGTTGGTAATACTAGAATTTTCAGTATTAAAGTAATATTATATGACTCCGCTAGTTTAGGTTTGTAATTTGGGAAAATTATAGTCATCCTACTGTTGATCAATCATCCTATTGTCAAATGGAATAATGGATCATTAATTCATTTCGGACTACTGTGAATGAATGATAAGATAGCATCTGACAATATTGAATTTAATTTTTTCTTCCTTCCTCAGCTTGGTATCATAATCGACACGGTCATCTCCTCCTGAAAAATCCATGAAGCATCAAGAGGATTTCATCCTGCAACCCTGCAAATATTCTACCAAATACCGGGTGTAACAGAGAGGATCATGGTACACCCCCTTTTTTGATTTTCAAATGGTACACCCTGTATATCATTGCATTTTCGAATTCTGCATGATTTTTTGAATCCAATGGTACCACATAAGTGACATTTCAAACTTGAATATTGATGTTTATTTCATTTTTGATTCTCCATCTGAGTGTGCCATAACTATTCTGATTGAGTCTGATCATAGTATATTATCCTTGTGGTCTGACGTACACATATCTACAGGTGTAATGCTAAAAAAATTTAATCCTGTCAAAAATGTAAAATTTCAAGATTTATCACCACATCTCATCAAAATGGTGTGGTGGACCAGGATCCTGTTACACCTGGTATAGTCAATCCAGAAGGCATTTCTAATCATTAGAATGAGGAAAGAGAGGTGAGTTCCTTAGCAGAGGAGTTATTTATAAACACTAGACTCCGAGTATCATGAAAGTATTCGTAATCAGAAAATTTCGTTGAATTTCGAAATCTATATGACATGCGAAAGAAAGTATATCTGTAATCTGGAAGTCAAAATTGGGCTGTACCGCAGCATAGTCGAATTATCACCTCGATATTTTTCCATGTGTAAATTCTTCATGTAGAGATTAACATGTGTTTCGGAGATTGATTTAACACAAATGTTTCATTTCCGGAATAGAAATCGTAACTCCCAGCCATTGATGCATACTTATCGCCCTTATTCTTCTAATCAACTATCAATGGGAGCAAGAGGGCAAGGCATCATAGGATCGACATTTTTATTCTCAACAGTATTTCATATTGTCGATCACAGAACACGGTAGTCCACTTATTGAATTTTAATTTGAATGAGAAACTTATATTAAGATTTCATGATAACCCAGATTATCTTGTTAGTTCACAAAAGTGGCCGGTATCAGTTGAATGGAACAAACTTCATATTTCAAATGCTGGCATTTTTGTTGTTTATTGGTTTTAGTTTATCTGGAATCTGCACATGACAACGTATATTTCACAGTATTACTTGGTCCATTTAATTTTGTCATCTGCTTATTTCATGGTAGAGAACAAAATGTGAATTGTATAAGTATGAGAATGAGATTTATTTCTATGAGAATCTTTCCCAAAGGTGGGTCATTTTTTAATAGGATGTAGAACTCATCAAAACAGAGAAAATCGTCGAAAATTGAAGTTGCAAAATAACGAAGATGAGAAACTCACCGATAGACTGGACCCTGTTACGGTCCTGGTATATTCACCATTTCAGGTGGTACAGACCTTCGCACAACGAACATTCGAATTTGAAGATTTCTTTACGAAAATCTTTCCGCGTACAAACGAATTCTGCTGCGGCACTTTGGCGGCACTCACCATCAATCAAAAGCATGTAAACAAGTTCATTATTTTCGTAAACGTGCTATATTGTTTGACAAAAAAACAATTGAGCAAGAGGATCCGATGACTAACGCTAGTCAAACGAAATTCTACTGTGGACGGTAGCAGGGGGACAGGGGATGATCACCGAATGGAGATTCGTGCCGCCAGGACCGTAACCAAATCCTTCTAAAATTCATGAAATGTTCGATTGATGATATTTCCGTTATTGAACAACTTTCATTCAAACTATATTTAGTGAATCTGTATATTTCATTGAATTCTTCATCCTTTTGAAACTAATGTGTCACCGTTGGAAACTCCCTGTATAGTAATCAAAATAGCGGGTGTTCAGGAAATCGAAAGGTTTATGCATTTTTAAATGTTTTATCGTGTGCTCTTCTCAAATTTGCAAAAGAATGTTGAAAATTTGATAATCCAGGGGGTTGTTTTGATCATACAGCAATTTATTAATTATTTGTTCATCTTAACTCGTACTTTTTTCTGACTCGAATGTGTCACTTTGGTAGTGGAAGGAAAACAGAGCAGGTGTACTTACCAAATATCCAGAGAATGTAGTGAATAATTTCAGAACTATCTTGATCCTAGTTCATATTGACATTTTTCATGACATTCTTTTTTAAAATAAGTGTCATAATCATCTACAATTTTAATTTCATTAGATACCACCTGAACTCAATGCAGTTTTTATCTTTGACAGCAGTTTGTACATAGTAATAATGGAATATTATGTTAACTATGTATTGATTAATACTTGAGGTAAATTTTCTGTCTAGTTTTGAATCAAGCACAATCTCGTCTTCATCAAAAAGATTATACCGACTGCCGACTGAAGGTTGCTGCAATTAAGAAATGTTCCTATGAGAAATAACAGGCCACCAGATAGGCACTAGGCAGATGTACACTATGCCCAAAAAGCTAGAGAGGAAAATACAGCTCGGAGAGGAGGCAACGCATGGGGCATTACTAGAAATCATCGCATCCACCTGCTCAATCCAAATGAAAACTACAAGTAAATATCTGACGTTTAAACGAAATATCACTAGATAACAACAAATTCATTTGTACCTACCACATCACTCATCAACCTTTGTAAAAGTGCAATAATTATGTTAGTAGCTATAAGAAAATGGTTCTATGTATTTTCATAAAACAATTAGTATTCTGGAAGTGTGGTTCAAAAAGGATAGAGACCTTTTAACAAAATTTTGATTGAGATGTATATTTGGATCACCCTAGTTTTATATTAATCTCTATTGATAGTGTCAATAGATCAATTTGATTGACTTACCGTTATATTGGCAATAATAATGTTCACAAAAAGTCGTCCTCCTATTGAAAGAAATGTTTAGGAAATATATTCTTATAATTAATTCTGTTCTATGAGGAGGGATTATCATTTATTTTCATGTGTACACGCCGAGAGCTAGACCAAACAAAAAAGAGCTGTTAGATAGGAAATAAGCTAGATATTGATAATATTTAATTTCTTGCCAGAAATGACGTTTTTATAGTAGGTATTTTTTACTTTCAGACCCCTTCTTTTGGGCACAGTTCAGTAGTTGAGAAGCTATATCGCAAATTCTGCATATGGGAGGACAACGAGCCGAATTCTTGAACCACTTGAAGACTCTTGGGTATACTTCACTACTTATTTGATGATAATTGGTATTGTTTTTGTTATACTTACTCTAAAATCTGATAGTTCGAATAATTCACGTGTGAAATCATAATCCATAACTGATAATCAATCATCGTTATGTATGAAATCATCCATCAGATTGACGTTCGGTCTTGACTGCCAATAATCTCGAAACATATTCATACTCAGAATATGATTGATAGAAAATGATATTCCGGAAAAATCGATTGAAAAATGAGCCCAAGATTTTTTCCTTCAAATTATTCTTTCTTTTTTATCAGTACAGATAATTCCAGATTCAATTCTGATTTACATGTGTAAATGTGATATTGTCCTCTCTCTAACTAAAAATGCTTGTTTTCGAACGTAACGATGATTATTGACAATGTATCGTTTCGGCCTGATATGAAAATTCATTTTGTTTTATCATTTCCTAGAAGCTCACTGAACGATGCGACTGAAGTTATTCGAGACAATAAATTTATTTTCATACATATTGAAAAACCAAAAAGGATTACGAACATCGATACTCAAACACTGATTGATAATAAATAAATAAATAAATAAAAAAAAAAAAAAAAAAATCAAGTCTTTCAAATGATTTAGATAACTTTTCTTTCGGACATAATTTTTTGGGCAATTTATATCAATTTTTTTTAATTATTGTAGAAATGAACTTTCATCAAAAGCCGATCACATTCTAAAATCAGGTTTTGATAATGGATGACTTCCTAGTCCTTTAAAATAACAGAAATGTTGGTTGAAATTAGTATTAGGAAATAATGAATTTTCAAATCGTGTCGAAGTCATGGTTGAAAAGAACAAATAGCTGGTTCATTGAATCGCTCCACCTGAAATATAATTTCTAATAACTTTGTCATGAACATACAGACCGACTGATAAAAAACGCTTAGAGCTCCGCTGTTTTGATTCCTCGAATGCAACGACGAAGCACTTATTTTTCATTAGTGTCTCATCATAGTATTCGAGAGTAATTTCTGTTGCTGGTCTGCTCATCAAATCGAACTAGGAAGAACGGAGCTTTGGTTTGGGCGTTCTTTGTTAGCTGGGTGGCCTGTAGAGTTGATTAAAAAAAAAAACACTCGAAGGACCATGTACAATTTTTATGGGCAATGCATATCGGCTATTCTTCTGGGAGTTTGATTTCCTCCATCTTGGCATCCTTATTATTCATTCAAATTTGGAGATCGATTCTATGACCAACTTTAGAGCAACAGGGTATCAAAAATATAATGCGTTTTCCATACAAGGTTGGGATATTATGGAACGAGAAAGACGAAATATATGAAACTTTGCAGACAACTGCAATGGCATAAAATGCGTTTGATGTGATGGTTCTTATTTACTTCCGGTTCAACGTGAATACACTAAAACTTTTTCATCTAAATGAAACCCCCTGGATATTTTTATTTTTTAGATTAAACTTGAGTGCATTTTCGATTAGACCGAACAGAAACAATCACATCAGATGCATTTTGCGTCATTGCTTGTCTGCATGATATTCGCACTTGGTTCCATACTATCCCAACCCTGTTATACTTGACTTTTCTGTTCTAATTCGTGAATAATCTGTCTTATGAATCCCACCAATCGATCATTAGAATACAAATGAAAAAATATCACATACAGGATGTTGTATAGACATAGTATAAGCATTGTTGAATTCGTGAAAACTAGGATACACACATGGCTAGAGTTGGCCAATTTTATGACACAGTGACATGAGGATTCATATGATTGCTTGGCCAATATACAGAGTAGGCCAACGAAAAAATTATCATGAATTATGATCTCCTAAATCGCCAGTTACCGTAACTTCAATAATTTCATTAGCAACCACTTACTTATAACGCCACATTGTACAACTTGTAAACATACATTTCCGTCTTTTCTTCAAATATTCCTCAAACAGGGAAAACCGACAAACATGGAATCAATATTCAAAACCACTTGGAAAAAGCATAATTTACAATTTATACGATGAAGTCACAAGTAGGGGGTTGATTTTTGAAATTATTAGAGTTGAGGCGGCTTATGAGGTTGATTATTCTGGAAAACAGTTTGTAGGTATCTTATTTCGTTCATAAGATACAGCAACAGGCTGTCCCATTTTCGATGACCTAATTTTATTTATAAGATAGAGATTTGTTGTTTTCGCGAACGTTAGCTACTTTTTTGGGAGCCTCCCGATATCGGAAACAAAATTCTCATAGACCGCTTCGTTTTTGAGATACAGGGCGACATTGAAAATGCTGCATTTTGGGACCCTTCCTGTATCTCAGCAAACTTTCAACTTATAGTTGAAGTAAAAACATAATCTATGTAAAAACAAAAACTTTTTTTCTCACGCAGAATCCTTTGGCGTTGTCAGATTATCAAGATGAGCTGTTATTATTCAGATATTAGGTATCTCAAAGTTACAGGACGATCCCAGAAAGCAACATTTTCAATTTTTGCCCTGTATCTCGAAAACTATACAAGCTATGGAAATTGTTTGTTTGCGGTATCGAGAGTTTCTTTAAAAATTAGCGAGATATCCCTTGAGGTCATCAAAAATGGGAGAGTCTGTGCAAGCTTTCAAATTGCCCCTCAAATAAAAACCGTATAATATGTTGAAGAGGCATCATATTAATTCTCTAGTTGATGATGATGACATTTACTGTGTTCACAAATACTAGCCGTTTGTTCGCCAGTTTTCACTAATTGAGAAAAAATTAGAATGCTTCGTCTATTTTTATGAAGATCACCCTTTGTCTGATATTTTTTCATTCGAATCGAATGGAGAGATTCATGAGCACTTAGACACGTCATGAAATTTCTGAGTCAGATTATTCACGAATTGAACAAAAATCAAGTGGACGAGCATTACATTTTTGACAGCCTGGCTAGAAAATTGGTCTTGATAGATTGAGTAAATTGGAATGAAGGAGCCGAAATCAAGGAAAAATAGCCGAAAACCCCATTCCCATAAGAAAATGTACGGGGTCCATTAGAGTCAGGGGTATTTCGGGAGTTGAATCGAAACAACTTGGGGGAAGCGCGAAAAAACTTGATTCGGGGGGGGGGGGAGCGATTCAATTGAGCCAAATCATCTGACTGAAATAAAAATAAAATAGGTACAGGTGTAAAAATTTCATTTTATTGAAAAATTAAATGGTGAAATTACATGTTTGTTTCATTCACGAGAACTCGGCTGATGGGGGAACTCGGCTGATGGGGGACATTTAAAGAATGTAAATCCTGAACGAGAGTCAGCTCGGCTAATTCGACTCGGCTAGTGGGGGGGGGGACATTCAATCCTGGGGCATGTCGACTCGGCTGATGGGGGCATTTCAATCCTGAGGTGACAACTCGGCTAGTGGGGGCATTATGATTCATGGGGGGAGTAGCCATCTCAGCTAGGTAGAACATTTTCAATCCCAAGGGAAGAAATACCGACTCGGTAATCGAATCGGCAAGTGACGAAATTCTAACCTAGGAACATGACCCGACTCATGAGATAATTCAATTGAGGGGATTGCCAACTTGGCTAATGAAAATCCTGGAGGGCATGTTTGTTTATCCAGCTAATGGGGATAGAACCCAATACTTTTTATAGGATCGAAAATGCTTCCTTGGGAAATTTCCTGAATTTTCAGTATGTATTCGATGAACTGATTGAGCAAAGAGAGTTGTCGAACATATTTTGAAATACTCCGTTACAAAATCAGTTATTATTATTTGATTATTTTCCCGTAATTTGAAGTTGACCAAGTGCATTTTTTCTGCTCATATCATTACATACCTTGTTATCGCCAAATATTATTCAGATGGTCTAGATTATATCATTATTTGCAGATGTCTGAAAATACTATTTTGAATTTAACATGAATCACGATTAAAACATTTCATACAGGATGATTTGGTAAATTGGTGAAACATATGACCGATACATTTATTCACATCCAGTATATTCAAGTAAACTGATGTTATCCTCCAGAGATAGAGATAGATATATAGAGATACTGTTTTAACATGAATTCGTTAGGATATACAGGGTGTAACATAATAAGCCTGCCACTTCACCAGCGGCTTCAACGACCAAAAATAGAGAGAAAAGATCCAATGAGTTGAAAAATGGCTCCTAAGGGAACCTCTCAAATGAGGCTTCTGAAGATCATCTTTTCTGAGTATTGCCGGAACGCAATGAGATGAAATAACGGTATAAAAAGTGAACTTTCCAAGCTACTGTGAAAATAAAATCATTTCAAAGTTTCATACAAGGTGGGACTACATATAAAATGAATTGAATGTTAATATTAAAACAATTGTTTTTATTTGTTAACGCGAAAATCGTGGATCGGATTAAAAAATACGTGAGAAAATGGGTCCCAGTCCAATTGGCTCTAAATTTGTAGAAATGTAGTTTATGATGTCCTGATCAAATGTCTTCATGGGCGCAACGAGATCTAATAATGAACAGTTTTTTAAATACAGGGAGTTAAACATGCGAAGGCAGTGGTTATTATTGTTATGACTTACCTTCAGAAATGTAATGTAGCGATTAATTTGTTATAAAGTCAAGGATAACAATTATTGTCAATATTGTCGACACGAGTTGTGATAAGAAGTTCTCAGACTCCATATACAGGGATATTATTTTTCTAGGTAATAGCCACCAATACTGATTTTCATGTAATTCTTTGAACAAACTTAGTCAAACGCAGAAGCTAGCAGAATAAGTGAATGTCATTTAATTTCAATATTTAGGTGATCTGAGGTTACTCAATAGTAATTACAAGGTCAATCAAAACTTTTTTGTTGCATCATATCCTATAATTCGGTTAGGGGATAGCCCGTATAGGTAATACTTGGACAACAAGACAGTAGCAAGATGTGCGCAGGTACAGATATTTCGAGCAGTAGATTTACACGATATTATTAATCATATAGAGCATTGTCTTCTTCATCTTGCGTAACTTCATCAAATGAGTAATTCTGCTTTGCGTTGTTATTACAAAAACTTATGAACAGGGATTGTTTGTGGAAAACTATCACGGAAACAGTAAACCTTAATACAGAACAAAAGGCCGTGGTCTCATCTCAACGTGTTTCAGTAGGTTTCAGAGGTTCACCTCATTATCAGTGTGGCTTTGCGTCAGATCAGGAAGTATATTCCCAGTGGGCACACATACGTTGAAAATGGTAACCAAACGTTAAAAATCGGTTGAAATGTCGCGGAAAATAACGTGTTTTTACCTATAAAGTTGAAAAATAACGTTATATCAGCTAGTGATACGTTGAGTGCGGATTGTTGTGCACCTTATTCAAAATTGAATGAAATTTACTTATTTTATAATGTACACTCACACTGTGTTCATTATCAAAGTGTTGAAACACAATAATTGTAGATAATTTAGCGCCAAAACAGTGGTACACTTGATCTGTAGGAGGTGTGAGAAGTGTAGTGCAGATAGTTGTTAGGTTAGGAGTTTGTTTTTGGAGCATAAACAACAACCTACTTTTCGCAAATTAATCATTTTCGGTCAACGTTCCTAATCCTGAGCTGGATATACCCCTACTGATAAAACAGATTTCATTGATTGATCCTCGTCAGAAGAACTTGTAATTGATTCACTATCTAAATTCAAGAAACTGTAGATAATTTCATTATCACTTTCCATTTTTTTAAAGTTCAATTAAAATACGCGAAATCCTACTACATTACTACAGTGTTTAATCTCTGCTACACCACAAGCAATATCGAACAGGATATCAATTCACCACACTCTACTTTATCACACTGGTCCACGACGAGAAGATCAGTGCACAAATATGTAGTGTACAATATATATAAATTTCATGCAGAAACAGCGAACAAACCTATTTGAAAAACTGTCCATTAGATCTCGTTGTGGCCATGGAGACATTTTATCAAATTATGAGCCAATTCGACTGGGACCCATTTTCCATAAGAACCGAGCGGGGTACTTTGCTAAGGAATGATTTCAATATTGGGAGAAATCAGTGGCGTACCGCCAGTAAGTGCCAAAATGGGCAGATAAAATTCTGCACGAAAGTCACTGGTAGCAATCAAAAAAGTGGTATACCATGTGATGCCCCTTCATACACATGGTATGTATGCCAAATTTCATGAAATATATGGAGTGGTTTTACAAAAAATATCAATAAAAAAACCTATCATTTTTGAAAACCTTACCACCCTAGCTAGCTGTATCTCAAAACTTGAGAAGTTTAGGTCATACGTTCGTGTGGTTCTCTTCTTAAAATTGGCTCAAAAATTACCCCCCCTCTCCCAAATATTGATATTCAATTAGCATATCAACGAATTCATGAACATTACAATTTGTATTGAACATTTTCATGGTCACCCTATATATTCCAAATCATGTTTATAGGATATCACTATATTTGGAAGATAACAATTCACTTGGATATACAGGATGTGAATCGATCATATGTCACTAATTTTCCAAATTACCATGTATGAAATGTGTGAATTATTGTGATTCATGTCAGAATCGAAATGGTATATTGCATGCCAAAACATTCTTCTCGGTAACATATATCTGTATAATATTTGGTTAAAAATTGATGATATGAGCATAAACTCTCGAATACTCAGAAAATAATAGAATGATAATTACCGATTTGTAACTTGAATGCCCTGTATTTGAAAATAAGTCAATCAGAGAATTCTGAGATTGTGCACGTTCAATCAGTTCATCGAATACTACAACATACGGAAAATTCAGGAAATTTCACTGAGAACCTTTACCTACAGAAAGTGTGGGTTCCCCCCATTAGCGGAGAAAACATACCTCCAGGATTTTCATTATTCTTATTCAGCCAAGGGTATTTCGTTAGGATCAGCATGTTCTTCATCATCCAAGTTGGCAATCCCCTCAGTACAGAATTTTCTCATTTTCTCAACATCATCATGTTCCTAGGATTAGAATTTTGTCAACTGCAGTTTCGACAATATTTCTTCCCAAGGATTGAAAATTTCTATTAGCCGAGTTCATTCTCCCCAGGATCAAAATGTTCCCACTAACTCACTCACTTGTCAAGTGAGGGAAATCAAATTGTATTCTGTGAGCATTCAGAGTCGGCTAATGAGGATATATTGCTATTACTAGGGCATGTCGACCTGCCTGATGATTAGAACATTTTATGCAAGAAGCATGTCCACTGGATTTGATAGACATTATTCTACTGGGATGAGGAAATACTGGAGAAGTGTGAACTCCACTACTGCGTATTGCTTGAAATCCTCGAAAGATTTCATGACAGAAGCGACTATACTGTCTGTAGCGACTATTTTCGAGTCATTGTCATCCTATGGACTTTGAATCCTATGAGCAGAACAATTTCAATCGGACGGACCCAAGAGTAGATATTTCAAACTACATATCAAATTGGCACCTGAATATAATTTCTGGCACAGGCCAACTACTAGGCTCATGGAGCAAATTAATCCTGGCGCAGGACATTTAGAATTTTTTTTTTATGTTCTGGTTCCCAGGAAAAGGCATATCCTGTAATGTTCAGAGAACATCGTGAGAACCAAGGGAAATAAGGTAGGAATTGGTGTTCTTCTTAAATTTCTGGAGATTATATGCCACTATTGAAACCCTGTCAATGTTAAATATTCCCAGTAGCATCGTCTGAATACTCACGGAAGTTGTTGATTCGATATCGAACGATTAGTTGGCAAAATGAAAAAACTTAAATGTGAAACTTCACAAACGATTAGAAGTTTTCACGTTTACTATAGATTTCCATCCAGTAACGGCCGAGTGAATTTGACAAATTAGAAGAATCAATATTGAAAAGGAGTATTCTCAAATTGAAGCGTTCTCATCAACGAGTTTACAAATCCATCTTTCCTACCACTCCCGGATTAGGATCACCCCATCAGCCGATGTTCATAAGTTTTACAATGAGTTCTTAATAATTCATAATCAGATTTCATTGGAAACGTCAGATATTTACTTCAAATATTTACTTGCGGGATCGTTGGACAGGTGAGTCTTTCTGATGATGCTCCATGCTGGCATGGTCTCTTTTTGTCCAGTTGGCCTCGCTTCAATTTTTATGCGATTTATGGAGCAGGCAACGGCCATGTCTATTTATTTTTCAACATTTCTTCGATGACGACTCACATTCCAATATCTAAGGAAAAAATAAAAACATCATTCACTAGAGAAAATATAGAATCGCCAGAAAACACTATTCAGGGATAGTGGCAATCGGAGTTGATAGTGAGGATCCCTTTTTTTTGTAAAAAAAAACATAACACTAGACTTCTCGATTAAGAGTGGTTTATTGTTAATCCATGATATAACTTTGAAAATGGGTGTTTCATCGTTAACACAAAATGATATAGTTTTTTCCCAAAATTCATAAATAGATTTACTATATATGATAAATCATATAGATTTATACATAATTTGTATAATAACGATTTAAAATTTGGCACTGAAGATATTTTCACGGTGTTACAATATCTTTATTGATCGTCATACGTGCAATATCGGGAATTGTTATCAAATCTGAATAGTGATACACAAATATCGAATGAGAAAGATGATTTAGGAAGTACTATTATATACGTTTATAGTCACACATAGATTCAAAAGTTTCATATCAGAACAAGAAACGAAAATATGTTCACTTATTCTTCCAGTATTTATGTGTTGCATCACTTTTGAATCGATGAGTATGATCTCGAGGGGTTGAAAAAATAAATTCCGAAACCTACATAACATTCAGCTGTATTGTCAATTGTAATTCTAAGATGACCTTTATTCTTGTCTCCAGAATATGGTGAGAAATATGTGATAAAATTCCATGTAGAATCGGAAAAAGAAAAAAAAATGAAAAAGTGATATGTTATCTGAAAGGTATGTGTCAGACGCTACCACAAATTCCCAGACCTCACAGTTGAATAGTTCAATAAATCATCATACCAAAATAGATTGCTTGTTCAAAATTCTGTATGGAACAATTCCGATTCAATTTTTGTCATTAACCAAATGAATAAACCTCACAATTTTGTTGGTATCCGTTTTATTAATGATATAAAGACCTGCATCGATTGAACTGATAATATATTCCATACATATTTATCTTCTCAATGTATGTATGAAGAGATATATAGCTATTTAGAATTCAAAACAACGAACGAACCATTTTAATATCATTTTCATCAATAGCAATACCAGTCAGCTCAGTCAGCACACCCTAGCCCTTGTCATCACTTTCAAGATATGTCGAACAACTATATCTATCAACACTCTTTTGACATTAAAACAGCAAATCATTTAAATTTTCTTGCATACGAGGTATTCCCTCCGTACACTCCAAAAGATGAAGAAAATGGATCAAATATGATTACTGGTTCTGTTGAATTGTCCTATTTCGGTCTCAGGAAGTTGTGGTAGAATTATGAAAAGATACACTTTATAATTGATTTCTTTGAAAGTTTTTTGGGATTTGGGATTCAGTTGTGCGAATCGATAATAATCAAGTATTTTTTTTTCAGCTCCTGTTCAAAACTATTTTTTCTATTCCTACTCTATATAATATGATAATAATAATAATAATAATAATTTGTCTTTATTTGTCCTCTCAAAAAAAAAAAAACAATAATACCGAGGGCAAATGGGCGAAGTCTGATCATGACCAGACGAATCCAGTCAGTTCCTACTCAACTTAACCCCATATAATATGTCTCTCCATAAAACTTGAATAGTTGTTAAAGCTGCTGGCCAGAGGCGAAACGTCTCCCAAATCCCAGGAAACCTCAAAAAATTTGTGGAAATTGATTCGAAAATTCTGAAACTAATTTTATAATCAAATATCATAGCATAATGTGTGACAGTCAAGGTAGGTAAGTAGGATTTTACACTCGTATTCAGAAAACATGTCTGACATGGACGGTGTCAGCTCTTCACATCACCGATGCAATAAGAACACTCACATCATCCCAACAGCGACATATATGTTCAATGAAGGCGAGTGTACCTATATACAGCGAGAGTCACCAAACGTTCTCACCCATTTTTGACCTTTTCATCACTCACTACAATAAAATCGACATATTTCAAATGGAAACACCCTGTATTTGAATACCAGTGGAAAGAAGATCACTATAATATGATACTATGAATCCACCATCAATTTGAAACTACCTTGGAATACCGTATTGTCTCGACAATAATGTACTTATAAGTTAAACATCGGAATAAAAAGTTATGGAAATTCAGAAGGATTAAAGGAATATTGATCTTAAGGTGGTAGTATCACTGGAAGTGGTCAATGATTTCAACCTGTCAAACGTATTTTGTAACTCTACATGAAGTAACCAATGAGTATTCGAGTATTCCTTATCGGTACCTAGAAATTTCAACAAATTACACAGATTGTGTTCAGTATCGGCTTCAGATTAGACGTGAATGTATCACAATATTATAAGGTAATAAAAGGGGTCCCAGGAATAGATTTACCCCGTGGCTAACTGTGAAAATCTTTCGAAAAATTATGATACACGTAGATATAATTTAACACTATGTCAAAATATTCAGCTTTCTGATATAGCCACTAGTGCACGGCAGAAATGGATAAAGTCAACGTAACAAACGCGACACGTTAAATTTGTTCTCCATTTCCAAGTTTTCTTGAGTACACTTATTCCTGGAACATCCTCCATATAATGTATGTTCAAGTATTTCAACATGAAGATGTAAAAATACTAACAATGAATAACATCAGGTATATATGAAGTATTTTGTTCCTATACACATCTTATCATTCGTAATTGAAAGGGCATAAAGAAGATCGAATTCGATTAGTAGTGCGGCTATAGGACCAAAATTCTTGTGACAGAAACAACAATGGTAAATGTGTAGAAGATTGAGAAGAACATAGAATGAATCACAGACAATTGACGTTAATATACACATGAAAAAGTTCCGTTTCATACTGAACGCGTTTCATTTTTCCGACTACTGCTCAAATAACTTCAAATAATAAAAAAAAACAGGAATGCCAAGAGATGACCACCTGCTCGGCCAAACATACGATGGTAGGCGACAACCTCTCCTCATTACTAATGAATGCAGAGGTAGGCTACCTCTAAATATGAAGGATATTTATCCAAATTAGACTGTGTGTGGAACCAAATAGGATGCAACTTGCTTAGAGGCATCTGTATATGAACCAAATGAATGAGGAGTACAATATTGCGTTTTTGAACAGATTCAGGATGAAACATCATAAGAAATGAACAATTCGCGAGCAGCTGTTTCAAATATCCGGACCAGTAGGTAGGTATAAAATTTCTATATATCTACTATACTTACTTATGATATGATTGTAAAGTGTTTGCTTGAAATTTGCTGAATGCTTTCATGCGATTGTCTTCTACATAAGAATCATTAATTGATAAGAGCAATTATTCACTTGACAGTGGCGGTGGTGGTGGAGGACTGTGAGACCAGACGAGATGTTCTTGGCTCTAGGCCGAGAGATGTGTTGTAAAGTTCGTCGTCTTCCATTATCAAACTCGAGTCCAACAGGTAATTTGCCACTCTTTCAATCAGCTCGATTTTGTAGGGCGTCTGCTGGAAATGGCGGATCTCGCGAATCACGTGGGCAATCTGGAATCGCAGACATTTAAAACATTCATTCTATCACAAGACTTAGCTATCACGAATGCCGTCGTCAAAACAAGACGTGATTTTGTAAAGAATCATTTTTGTGTTAGGGAGACGACGAAAATAACTTTTCAGCTGTATTGCATTCCATCCCTGTCCATGTCGACTAGATGAATGGCTCCCGTCTTGTTTTGAAGGACGAATCGAGTGCTTCTATGATGAAAAGGTGTGCTCACCATCCGCATTTTCGAAAAATTCAGCAAACCGTCAGCAGTGAAGTTGGGAGTTCCTTCCTCAATGAAAGATAAGTCGGTGAGGTATATTCCGAGATACGGTATGCATGGAGGATCGCAGCGATGCAGAGCATCTCGCAAAGATCTGAATCTTCCGTCTGATGAAACGACAACTTGCAACTTTTCGATCGTCTGTTTTGTCTGAAGAAAAAAATCGAGACTGTTTCAATCGCGTGAACGAGATTGAACATGAACTTACGGTTTTAGAAACTTTCTCCCAAGTTTTCTTGAGCCGGAAAATGGACGTATTAGTCAGAGCAGAGCAAATCTCTAAGACCCCATTGAAGTTGTGCAGACATCTGCAGATATCCGCAACGGCTGCCCATTTCTCAATGGCCGCCACTCTGGTGGTGATGGACTTCCGGCGCAAAATTTCTGATGCAACCAATCTGGATACGTCATTGAACCTCTTGGTCATCATTATAATGTGGGGGGCTCTCTTCTCCTTGTCGCCCTTCATCCAAGCTTGGCCCAAGAACTCCCTACAATCATTTCAATCGTTATTTCACGTGCGGAATCAGTCAGTAGGTGCCAAAGCAGACAAGAACTCACTCGCTCGAAATCGCTATAAAAATTTGGTGGTCGATGAAAGTTAGTTGTTCTGCTATTTCTAACGCCGATAAAGTTTCTATCGATTCCTTGCTGGTTATCTGGAATGGTAATTATTTTACGATGTAATGCTATCTGAACAAGAATATAGTGCCCCGCAATTGAAGTGCGACACCTGAAATTCTCGCTCAGATTCGTTAGATTATACCTTCCTGTCTTCAGAATCATAAATTCGAAACAAGAAAATATTAGAGAATGAATATTGAATTTGAAGTGATCCCATTCCGTTCAGAAATTTTTCTCCATGATACAATATGTGGAAACCAGGAGAAACATTTTTGTACCGAATGGGACCCTCCAAAGTAGATACAAGTTTGCAGGGTGTCATTCATCGCCCTGTAGAACATGTATTCAACATTTTTTCGTTTTCCGATTTTATGATTCTGGAAATCGGTTGATTTCTTTGGATGTTATAATCTCACGAATCTGAGCGAAAATTTGAGATGTCCCACTTTAATTGACAATAAAGTCGTCATTGTTGTTGTTGAATTACCTTAGGTGGCTTGAGTAATTTGATAATATCTATCTTGGAGGTTTCCGGTTCCTCTTTGGTAAGCAATCTCAACAATTGGGAAGCCGCCTTGTGCTCGGCCGGCAATAGATTCGGGCTGTAGATGATATCATCTAGAAATTCGATGGTGAGATTCTTGAGACGGACGTCGTTTTCGAAATCTTGCGAGTGCTTCGAAATCCAGTGCCTCAACACGTTCAGCACTCTCATCGTGCAGGCCGTCGACATGACGGACTCCTTGTGTCTGGTCCTTTCTGCCTCCTCTTGCTCTCGGCTCGGAGAAATGTCTCGAGGATTGCTCGAGCCGCACGTGGCTATGGCGAACGCAGCTGCCGAGGTCGAAGTACTGCTTCTGATGGACGGGGTGGGAAATAGTGATTGGCGAATTTCAATGAAAAACAATCGATCATTCGATTATTAATATCACTAGAAATGTCTCGAGTACTTTACCAAGATTATTCGAATGATTCGGATCAAATGACAGACACATCATCGTGACATCTAAATCTAAACCTAAATCAATCTTTGACATGACATTTATGGATATTTATAGTTACCCCAAGATCTAAAATTCCTAATGATATCCCATTCTAGTTTTCTCTTTATATTTATGTTTATTTCATTGGTTCACAGGACAAATTGATTGAAAATGCTGCAATAATAGTATGGTTATCAGCTTGGTTATAATCAGATGGATCAAACAGGTATCGGCAGGTTACACTTAGCAGGTTCAGTTACATATAGTAATAGTAGTTTGGAAGTAGGATTTCATGCAAACATAATCAATTAATTTTATACTTTTTGATAAATATCCCTTTTATTCCAACTACTACTGCAATATAACCACTTTTTCAAATGGGCTAGTATGACTATTTTATGTTGGATATATGATGATCAAGTGTAATTCTCAAGTAGTTCAGACAGGGATGTAAATTAGATGGGAATACTCTGGAAATTCATAATATCCATCAAACCTCTGCTACATAACATGACCGCGAAAAGCTGGTAAACGTCATAGTCTACGGTAAAGCATGTCAGTGATGATTACTATATCCACGCATGCGCATCATGCCACCAAATCCTTATGGATTTTAATTTGTTTCATATTTTTAGCTTCCACCTGGCACTCGTTGTTATCCATATTGTTAATTATTACATATATGACGGAGACCGAGCAAGTCGCCAACAGAAAGATATTCGAATGTTTCAGATGTTTCAAATCACTCATTAGATGTTTCGGATCACTCGAATGATTCGAGACGGCTGACGAATGGGGCGAGTGGATTGCTCGAATCAATCTTGAATAACGAAACAGAACTGATAGATAAATGGCAAAATAAATAACAAATAATGAATGAGGATCAGAATGTGAAAAATCGGATAATAGAGAATTTTAAATAAAAAATGTAAAAATATAAATAATAACAAAACTGAAATATTTTCTTTGGAACTGAAATAAAAAAAAACGAAAACATTCAATCTCAGATTTCGAAAGAGTTATCATGAAAACAGGTTGTACTCAGGTACTAATAATATTTGTTCCAATTTTTTTGAGATAGATGATTTCTTCTTTGGTATGTGATTGTGACGTACCTACTATAGAAACGATGAATCATTCGAATGATATTTCAATAATTATAGGAATCGTACGAATACTATTTATTCGATTATGCCCATGACTAGTAGGAATAAGTGAATATAGGAATTTCGGAGAGAAGAGTCGACTAAAATCGCCTACCTCCGTTTCGATTGCCTGAAAGACGTGATGACGACGCCGGCCCTGCTCGGCTTTCGAGGCGACTCGTGCTGAAAGCTGGAACGAGCCGTCGAAGACTCGCCGTCAGTCTGAACGGATCGTCTGGAGCCGTAGTAGCTCTGGAAAAAGTACTGAACAGTCGATGACGGAATGGGTATCGAGCGACCGTCCGAACTTTCACTGAACCATAATCAACGACACACCCGAAGGTTCCCAACATCTTCCTTTCTTCCCAAGGAGATTAAATACATAAGAAGTGTTTTGTCTACCTGACCAATCATCAGGTTCCGCTGACTATCTCGCAATACGTCAGTGGACATCATATATCTACTATTCATATATGAATCATAGCTGTCCTCGAAGCAGGACCAACTTCTGTCTCTATAGGTAACGAAATCGACCAATAGGCGTTGATGCCGACGTAAGGAAAAAAATAAAACGAAACTTTTGAAACCAATATGACTGCTTTTATCCTTCACTTTCCGTTCTTATAGATTCAAAAAGTACCTCTCATATTGGTCCCATTTTTGTTGAGATATCGTATAGGCGATGCGCCATATATAGAAATAGTAGATATATGGTGGACATGTTATGGCTTATTCTCTTTGTTTATATTAGGTGTGTTCGGTTATAACATATCTGTTAGCTCGATTCCATCTGTTAGCTCGGAAAGCGTTCGATAAATCAGATCTACTTCCTCTGTCTAATCTGCTCCGTGTTCGTTAATTGTCAGAGCGAGCTGAAAGATGTAATCTGTTTGCTCCGCCTTGAGGAGCAGATCATTCAGATTTGATCGGTTATTCGGTTGTCAGTTGTCAACAAATCAATGTCAACAAACATGTTATTAAAATTATATCTCTTTTATGTCGAAAAATTAAAGACTCGATCAACTGGAAACGAAACACGAAACTGAATTTTGTAGAATCCTCCTTGCCCAGAATCGCCAGAATGACCGACGAAATCCACAGTTAATGACCGATCATATGAGACAGAATCATTCCTTCCCTAGTAATTTTCAAAATATAAACAACAAACATTCAAAAGAACTTTGTTGCCCTGACGTGTTTTTAAAAGTAATAAGGTTAAGTGAATTGTTTATGTTTTCTGTTACTTCTGACAGCTGGCGCTCGCAATCTACTACCTCGTTGAGCGTTCGTTAAATATCTTTAGCTCTATCTGTTAGGTGATCACGTGACACCAAATCTGCATCTGCTCGCTCGGCTCCGATTTTGTTAAACCGAACGCACCTATTCTGGTTTTGCGTTGATTCATGTCAATTGTCAATCTTCACAATATTAATTCTCTCAGAATAATTATTAAACACCTACTGGAACACTCTCAACTCCTACAGTTGACGAAAAGTTAGTAAGTTTTTCACCTACCTGCATTTTTGCATTAAAATAATAGAACCGAATGCAGATTTCTGATGACTTCTTCGAATAGGTAGGTACCTACACACACAAATGTGTATAATCAACACTGATTACAGACAACTCACGTGTTTTTTATCAATTACATTATATTTGATCAATAAATATGTGAAGTTTCTGATTTGGAGAACAGATATACAGTTGAAAAATTTGTATTTGCGGAAACAATGATTATAATACAGTGTGCCCAAGATAAGGATGAACAGCATGGGGATCTCGGTTACCGTAAGAGTAAGGGTGACTTTATAAAAACATTTAACCATTTAAGATTCAACATTCGAACATTTAAGACTTGAGAGTCTTGAGTGCATACAGTTATGTAAAAAATCAAGACGATACATGTCTTCTGTCATTACTGACATCTAGTTTCTGATACAGAACCAGATTTTCAAAGTTTAATCAATAAGTTAAAAACTAGTTGGAAATCAAAATTTCATGTTCTGATATTATTTTATCAATTTATATCCCTAAAATGATGCCTACATCCATTATATCTCCACGGTATTTAGAAAGTAGTCACTATTCTTTGCCTAACAGAAAATGGCTCACTCTTTTGATCTTTTGCCGAATATGGATACAACAGAGTTAAGGTGACCTTCTAGTGTATTTTTAAAGAATGGTTCAGTATACATATTTTCAATTAGAAGAGAAAAAAATATTCAGGAATAACAAATCGAAATACTTTGAGTGATTTTTGAATGGCGGGAAATTCAGAAGATATTCAGAAGATATTCTGATAAAAACCTGAATTTGTCGATTTGGTTTTTACTTTCTTTAAAGTCATTAAATGAATTTCGCAAACACCAAAGGCACTTTCTCAATGCCAGTTTTCACTGTATCTATTAACTCTCCTTGCTTTCTTTCCATCAATCGTTGATGATAGTCCAGTGCGAAATTATTACTAAAGCGGCTAGCGACACGGATTACACTTTGCTTTGAGACTTACGCATGCGCATAATGTTGACCGCTCGGTGACCGTATATGAATATATTATGTATGTACATACTACGATAGCCAAGTGAGCTAGGTGCGTGCGTTTAGATGGAGATATCCCAGGCCCAAATCCTTACTCAACACCCCCCTTTTTTTTTTAGTTTCACACTTCTCCAAGAAATTAACGCATCACCAAAAAGTAGTCAAACATTTTCGTCAAAACTACATGTCCGATTTGGACGTTTGAATGACAGATTATTTCCTTCTAAACATTGGTGTGCAAACTGTATTCTCATAAGAACCTCTTTTTTATGAATACCGGGTAAAGCAATTATAGCGTGTTGTATTCAGGGAATTTGTGGAGTGTAACAGTTGTTTTCAACTTGAAATAGAAGGTACACTTGAGCCTTACCTTTCTTCAACATTCCTTTTTTGGATCACTCCATTACCTGCTTATCTATTTATCCAAAAATACAATTTTATAGCATAACATAATTTCATTGTAATAAATTGGCATTATAAGCACGAAAGTAGCTGGACATGGTCGGGAAAGGCATTTCTTTGACTGATCGCAAAACGTCCAAATCGGACAAGTAGTTTCGACGAAAATATTTTCTAAACTTTGGGCTACTTTTTGGTGGTGCGTTAATTTCTTGGAGAAGCGTATCTTCCTTCCTCCCTGAAAAATGGACTGAGGAGGCACTTACTGTTCTGGCCGATAGTGATTCGCTATTCAATTGATGTTTTTGTTCAGGTTCGGCTGTGAGCAAAGCTCTTGGCCGGAAATTTCCATTGTTCGGAAATCTCAAAGCAAAGCGAAATCCGTGTCGCTAGCCGCCTGTAATTCTCACTTGCAGTACTCCTGAAGGAGTCGAGATGCTGGCTGATCTGGAAGAGCTGCAAGAAGCCCGATGGCCGGCCACGTTCGAATGATGCTCTTCGGCCTGATCCTCCGACTCTATGGACACCCCCCGCTGCAGCTGCATCTGCCTCTCGTGAGGGTCCGGCTTCGACGTGAACGAGGGCCTCTTCTGAGGTTGCTCCAGCACCTTTCCGCCTCCGGAATCCTTCGTGGGAGAGAGCGTTTTCTTGTAGGAGGAGGATGAGGAGGAGGTGGTGGATTTGGTCGGAGATGTTCTGACGGGACAGGTTTTTCTGGGGGGCGGGGGCGGAGACGGCTGCTTGGGGGACGAGGGCTTGCCCGGATGGCCTCCGTTGTCGGAAGGGGAGGATCCAACCAACGTCACTGAACTCAGATTGCTCGGCGAGCATGGGGCGCTCAACACGCTCACATCTGCGGTGGAATGTTGTTCATTGAATCGGATGTGAATAGTTATTTATTATGCAAGGAAAAGAAAATATTAGATTTTGGTTCGAGGTTGTGTTAATTGTTGACACAATATTTTTACGATGTGAAGGGTACAGGGGAAGAAGGCGGTTTGTCACTGAAAAATCTAAATCAGTTTTCAATGTATAAAACACTATTTTTTTATGTGACAGGAAAACCGACGATTCCATGTTGAGAAGTTATTACATTATATTAATATCACAAAATTATCGATGTGAAAGTTTTTAACTAGTAAGCTGCGACAATTACACCTGCGTTGCAGGCATCTTTGTTGCTATCATTTTTTGAAGTAATCAAATATCTGTCGATTTATCTCTGTGATTTTATTTCAAAAAATTGCGAACTTAGTGGATATTTAATAATTAGAGTAACCGCGAAGTGGAAGATAAAAACTGCAAGTCGTTTTTATCTTTCTTTCACGGAGACAGTGTAATGGGCATATTTTTCGAAAGTGACAGCAGAAGCCATCAACAGTGTACCTATATACTGGGTGTCCCGAAAATACATAAAAAGATTTCAACCACATATTCTAGGACCACAAATAGGGAAAAAGGGTCACACATACATGGTCCTAGAAATGCCCCCCTGGGGAGTTATCTGAAAGAGGGCCCAAGATGATGGTTTTTTGTTAATATTTCCTCTGTGTTGAGATACCAAAATTTTGTATATTAATATTACCTTTCTATGCAATTCTGGGCAGTTCCACCAGGAAATATGAAAATATCATAATTTTCACCTAAAAATGATACTCCTGTTTAGTTTCGATAGCATTCACCATTTCCGGGATAAATCGATTTTGAATGTCTTCTGCGTAATAACAATGGTATTTTTCAGATTATTCTTTTAATTGTTCCTTTTATATTTCGAGTCAAATACCACAAGTATTTCCCATTGAAAAATTATTTTTGGGAAAATTTCGTACCTTCTATTATAAGGAGAAAGCACCATTTTCGTTACACAGCAGATTTTCAAAATCGGTTCATCTCGAAAATGGTGAGTTCTATTGGTATCATTTTCCAGTGAAAATGATGATATTTTCATATTTCCTGGTCAAACTGTCGAAAATTGCATAGAAAAAAAATGTGGGAGGAAATCTAAATTTCGGAAAATTCTCAACATTATCTTAACACAGGGGGGTTTGGAAATATTTACAAAAAAACATCATCTTGGGCCCTCTTTCAGATGGCTATCGCTCCCCTGGGGGCCATTTCCGGGCTCATGTTTATATAAACTTTTTTGTTCCTAGAACCGGTGGTTGAAATCTATTTATGTAATTTCGGATGAGTCATAATTTGCCAATTTTATGCGTGTATGAATGAAAACTAGGATCAGAAGTATGGAAGTCGAACATTACTTTGACGAAAAACCAACCTGTCAACGTTTCGCTGCTACTGGATGCCGCCACTTTGGGAATGGTGAGATGCGTCGTTTCCTCCTCGGGACCGTCATTAGCGCTCTCCACTCTGATGGACACTGCCTTCGCAGATGGAGGAGCCAGCGTATCGCCCAGTCTGGAGTGATGGGTGGGGCTGTACTTGATAATTCTTGGCTGAGCTTGCTCTTGAGATTCTTCTTCATCTGTTTCATGAAAAAACTCAACATATCGAAAACTCATCGAATTCATCAGTAACGTCACTGTGGAAACCTATTTTAATTGGATTTTCATCTGAGCATAGAATGAGAAGGTTTTTTCATTGAAAATTTATATTTTTGGGAAAGTTCAGAATTGTGAAATTGGCCAATGATCAAAAGAATATATGAACAGTTGATGAGCTCCGAGAGTTTCAGCTCATTTTGGTCACTTTTACCATGCAAATCTCCAAAATGAAATTTCAGGTCAAAATTACCTAAAATGGTCGTCAGCCTCGAAGTCGACGAAATTTGGAAATTCAAGATGACGGATCCAATGTGGCGGAAGAGTTAGTTTCCTAGTTATAATCCGAATCCATTCAAAATTGGTATCTAGTGATTTCAGAGATCAGGGATTATGATTCCATCGCGAAATTTAGGAAATTCAAGATGGCGGATCCAATATAACGGACGAGTTTCGTTATTTTCATTCGATTCTTTTCAAAATTGGCAACTGTGGGGGTTTTCGGGGTCGAAAATTATGATTAATTTGTCAACGTTTGGAAATTCGAGATGGCGGAACCAATATGACGGACGAGTTTCGTAATTATAATCCGATTCTATTCAAAATTGGTACCTATAGGGGTTTTCGTGATCGTGGATTATGATTCTTTTGTCTAAATTAGAAAATTCAAGAAATAATAATAATGTGTTGATGCATATTTAACTGAAAAAAAAAATTCTAGAAACAATGTTTAAAGGCTGTATGACACCTGTTAAATTTGATGACAAATATGATAACAAAAATGATGACAAAAATATTTTCTATGTGCCATACAGTATAAATATTTATAATATCAAAATATTTAGAACCAGTCCTATATTTTTACAAGAATGATTGCAAATCTGCGCAAAATCAACACCTTTTTCACTGTATGACACATAAAGAATATTTTTGTCATCATTTTTGTTAACATATTTGTCATCAAATTCAACAAGTGTCATACAGCCATAAAGCAAAACAACGTTTGCGGGGTCAGCTAGTTTACTATAGATAATCATGTTAGTGACTCATCGTATTCGTAGAAAAGTTTGCTGAGTGAGAACCTTATTCGGGACACTCACATTTTTGTAAGGTGGCTCTCCATACACGATGCCCTTGCGAATCGTAACTGTGCGATCTGTCTCTGTCGCTCACTTCGGAACCGTACCCCGACACCGAACTGGCTCCGCTGGTTCTCCTCGGCGAGAAGCTGCTCCTTCTTCGCTCGTCGAACAAGTGCAAAGTGTTATCGTCCTTCGCTTGCAGGCCTTCGAGGGACATAACGGAACCTTGCGGCTCTATTTCTATGGTATAGAACACGTTTTTGAGAGCCTCGAGTACTGTCACTCCATCGGTGAATACTCTATAAGTGAGCAGGAACGTGTTCAGGAAATCGATAGAGAGAAATCTCAAATCTGGAAATGATAAGGAGACAAAAATAAAATGATTTTATGCCATCAATCGATCAGAATGTTTACCAGTCAAACGCTGTAAAAGTCTTTCGGGGGTAGCGTATCGAATTTGCGGGACTTTACAAGAATTGAGAGTACGACTGAAACGAATATCTGCTTCATCCTTGAACAGTTTCGGATCATTCTTCAACGACTGCGGTAAACTGATCGAGCTGCTATCAGTCATCGTCGGTCGCATCATATCGTTAAATTGCACATTGTCCAAACACTGAATGATATCGGATATCCATGCTGTCTTTTCCTGAATTGACGATGCCACCAAGTGCACACAAACCTACGATCGAAATTTTTCGAATGAGTTATCGAGAATCGAGGAGGAAATTTTATGTTGGGCCGATGATGTACATTTTCGGAAATCGCTTGGCAACTACTGTGCGATAAACTGAGATTGGAATACATGTTAGCAAATCGCAGAGGGTACATTCTCAAAAAGTTACAGTGGTTGACTTCGTGATGATTCGTGTACCTATATTACGCTTCTAGAATACAACGGTTCAACGTGCACTAGTATTTTGAAATCAAACACACTCACTTGTCCAGGTTGTGAGATACTCTTCATTTCTATGATAATTTTGAAATCTCTGTTATGGAATCCTGATACCCCAGAGGTGTCACTAGCTGTCGACTGACTAGACACTGAACAGACTGAAGATTCTGCGAATGGAGCAATAGTATTAACGGAATAATGAAAATTTTTATAACTCACCATCATCATCAGGATTATCAGTAGGATCTTCGATCAGCAAGGCATCTGCGAGAGATATTTTGCCAACATCGGGGACTAAGTGTAATTTGCCACTGGAAGTCCTGAAAAATCATGTTACTACGAAATGAAAACAGTTTGACGATTAAAAATGTATTTATGATGGCCCTGTGTGCACACGCGCCTCACCTGGTGGCGATAATAAGGTGGTTGGAGAATAAAAAACACTGTCGCACTGCTTCCTTCTCCGTTTTGAAACCTAATTTACTTCTCGACGTTTTCTCCGTAGGAACTTGGATCAGCGATCCTTGTCTCACGAATACCTGGTTGACGTCCAAGAGAATGTCACAACCTTCGACTATCATCCTTTCCACGGCGAGATTTTTTCGGAGATTTTCCGTTTCAGACACCTAGAACAATAATGTGGACCTGATTCTTACTTCACTACGATAAATCAGTTTCGAATCTGAGAGTCGGTATATTGAAATTCAAGTTGTACCAACCTCGTCGTGCATCTGTCGTGACAGATCTTCGAGCTGTTGCCTAGCGTTCTGGAGACTCCTCCTCTCGACATGATCGTGTGGAGTATGAGCCAAGAGCTCGTGGAGAGTGATAATATACCTCGGCACCTGAAAATGATAACCCATTCGTATAGGAAAAAAAAAAGGAGGACTACCCACCTGATGCATAGGATAAGTCAGAAAGGTCTCCAAACATCTACCGCGACAAGCAGGTTTACATTCCAGCCTTTTCAGTAAAGCAGAAAATTGCGGAGACTGCTTACATTCCGTCAACACTTGTAGGGAGTAGTGATGGTTCCGAACATATTCCTGGTAAATGCTCAACATGGGCAGTAGCATAGAGAACAGATCCCCTGCAAAGGAATCGTATAGGTACAATCCTGTTAGTAGAATCGCTATACCTCGCTTACCCAATACTAAGGTTGGCCAATTCTCCAATCGCGACGTTAATCCTTTCAAAAATATCTGATGGAGAAATAAGACAGTCTCGCTGTTCAGGAAAATGGAATTGACGTCCTCGTGAGAACAAGGCGGCTTTTTGGAAGAGGCCGCCATCTTGAACGGTCGCAAGAAGCAAGTGACGAGTACCTCCATTTGCTCCATGTACTCCTCTTCATTCTCCACCATCCGGAAGACCAGACTGTTCCGTTTGCGCATGCTCTCAGCATGAGGACTCTTGATATATTGCTCGACGATCTGCTTCCATCTGCGTCTGCACAACCAGCCGCGAAAGAAACTTTGCACCTTCTTGATTTTGCGCAGTTCGGCCGAATCTTGCTCTAGATTGGCGAACTGGCCGCTCACCCCCGAACTGCAAGAGCCCTGTGTCGACGACAAGCTACCGCTTGATTGGTGTTGCGGGACCGGCTTCCATTCTTTCTTCAAAGCGAACAGCTGAAAGATATTGCCGAGATGAAATCTGCTGTTCAATCTCTGATGCTCAACAATAATTACTAATACACCCCATGTGAAAATACAGGATGAGTTGAGTTTTTTGTAGCAGGACATTAACGGTTTGAAAAACACATATTGACGAAAAAGTTCAAGTTCGTGGGTGATTCGTTTCCAATATACTGGGAGTCGAAGTTCGAGATTCATTCAATGTTTTTCTAGGTTTCTCCTAGAATTTTCAGAATGATGAATTGGTATTTGGTATAACTGTTACACTTGAAAAATTCAGTATTTGAGGTGATTTTGATCAACTACAGAGTGATACACTTTTCAATGAAACATTAATTTAGATTTTCTGTTCAATTGGGATTCTTTTTGCTTTCTTATATGATTTTCGAAAACTGTATGGATTTCGACATGAATGCAAAACACAATTTCCTTGTGATGAATCTTCAGTTTTCGAACCCAGCCTATTTGACATTTCTCAATAATTGACTCGAATACCTGGAATGATCAGAAGCTTCCATGAAATGTGTTAATGAAAAATATCACATCCCCTGTATATCGAAAAAGGGGCTCCTATGTATATATATGTTTACATGAGCTTTCTATCTTATCCTTAAGCTAATGAAGTCCTGCTTCAAAAAAGAGACTCACCCTGTATATGCAAGATTCTATTCAGAATTCAGACAATTACTTTGTGTTGTGGTAGAACTAATGAAATCTGAATGTTAATCGTTTTACACATAGAAGATATTGGTACCATGATTTATATGGCCCGAGGAAAAAGTACTCAGGCTCTCTCATAACATACACAAACATATTCAAAATTAAAAAGTTGATTGTGATGAAACAAAAAAGCTGATATTTAAGGGCAAGAAATCATTATATCAGGAAAATATGTGTTGGTAGGTTGGTAATGGAAAAAGTACTATATAAACCATCACGGTTCAGGAGATAATTTTCGCCTCGCTCCTTCAGCTCCATCTCGCGGCAACTAATACAACTCAGCTGAGGAAAATGTCTTGGTATGTAAACACTATTCCAGTTATTGTGTCAAATAGTGATGAAATCATTGATAGTTACCTCCGCTCGTAATTTTTTTATTTCGGTTACTAGTTCCTCACACTGTTGAGTATACTGCCATTTAGCCGTTTTCTCTGACTCAATAATTTGCAATAGATGTAAATGCTTCTGTTCCAACTCTTCCTTCTGCAGAAGAAGTTTATTGAAGCTGAAAATATGATAAAATATGTAAGCTTTCTTCTTATTGTGATCACTCGATTTTGCAACTCAACTGCAAACGGTAGCTATACTACAAGATTATTTTTAATATTCACCTAGCCTCTCTGATGGCCTCTATCCAGTTCATGCAATCCGTTTCGTTGAGAGCGCGTAGTTCATATTGTCGGATGTTCTCCCGTCTGTACGATATTGCAAAACAAAACTGAAAGCGAAGAAGCTGAAACTTATTTCTGAAGACTTATATCCACAAGTTTAACCTACCTGACGATCCGAACCATCCTTGGGCTTCGACGGATTTCCTGGAGTGATCAATCGTTCACAGTAACATCCTTCTAGCATTAAAATTCCAGATGGTCGATGACAATTTTCGGAATCGTAATAAAATAGGAGATTCTGAAATTATGGCAATATTATTTTTGTCATTTATCGTCTGGGTTACTCTGGTGAGTAGGAGAATTTCTTCGAGGAAATCATCATTATGTTTACCTATTTCCTGATGAGTCTCGCAATAAGCATTATATATTATATTGAGACTGGAACGATTATTATTAAATTTGTTCGCCCACTCCGATCGTATGCATTCTTCGAATATTTTCAGACATAAATAGACAAGAATGGTTGCATTTCGAATGGCCAATGAAGAAATGTTGAAAGATGAACTAACACACCAAGGCACTGGGGAAGAGAATGATATAGGGCTCCGTTATACAGAGTATCCGGAAATTACATAAAAATATTTCAACCACAGATACTAGGAACGAAAATAGTGAAAATGGCCCCCTACCCATCTAAAGCAGAGCACGAAATGATGTTTTTTTTTGTAAATATTTTCGAAACCCTCCGTGATAAAATAACCAAATGTTTACATGCACCTAACTTTTTACGCTCAGTTTGGGAATGATGAGAATTTTCCAAAATTTTGATCAGGGGCGTGGGAATTACGTGGGGCGAATGGCACTTTTTCGTTTATATGATTTTTGGCAGTTTGTCCAGGAAATATGAGAATTTCATCTTTTTTACTTAAAAATAGTAGGTACTTACTCTAGTCAACTTTCTATATCACTCACCATTTTCGAGATAAATTGATTTCCAAATAATGGTGCGCAACGAAAATAGTATCTTTTCTTAATAGGGTCCCAAGAAGTTATTTTTCAATTTATTCTTTATATTTTAAATCAAACATCAAAAGTAGATGTTAAAAGAAGGGGTATTCACCATCAAACCATCATATTTATTGCCAAATTCGGTAAACTATTGAGAAAAAAAACCATAGTTTTTGGCAAAATTCGGTAGCCTATTGAGAACAAAGCACCATTTTCATTACGCAGCAGAATATTGAAATCGATTTATCTCGAAAATGGTGAATGCTCTCGAAACTTAACAAGAGTACCATTTATAAATAAAAAATGTTGAGATATACATACTTCCTGGTCGGAAAATTGATTATATTATTACAGAGGATTGAGAAAATATTCACATAAAACCATGATCTTGGGCTCTCCTTCAGATGACAATAACCCTCTAGGGGGCCATTTCTGGACTCATGTTTATAACAACTTTTTTAACTTTTTTTGTTGCTAGACTCCGTCGTTGACATCTTTCAATGTAATTTCGGGACACCCTATAGACCTGGGCATACGGAATTACGGAACCCTGAGAAGACGAGGAATCTAATCATTAAAATTGACAAATTTTTATAATTACCTGATAAAGCACGAACCAGCGTAGCTGCCATTTATTGCTATCCCCAGATCTCTTGTGTAAATAGCCAGTCTGAGAATTGTCGTAGTGGGCTCTCTCGGATAGCATGATCAATTGGTTGTCATTCACGCGAATCGTTCTCTGCATCTTGGGGCTCAACATCGTGTCGATGCTGCAAATGAAAATTATCAAAATAAAAACGGTAAATGTCAGAAATTCGACAATTTCTTCTTCAAATGAAGCCGATAAGAAGCCCCTTCAAGTTCATTATAAAATTCATGAGTATCTGAGGATACGTTAATAATTACATAGATAAACAATATCATAAAAAAATGTTTGGAACGAATATAATACCTTCGATGATATTTTTGTTGAGATATGTAGTTTACACGTCCATTGCAGTCACAATCGTCGGAAAGGATCAACCATCAGTAGCGCATTTTGTTATGCTAACGAGGCCCTCAAAAATGATATCATGAATGAAGGTGAGAGTAATTCAAAACATTTGACTTTTCCTTATTATTTCGGAAGGACTCCCACAGCGAAAATCATCAATCTACATGTTCATGTGACAAAAAAAAAGACCAGGGAGCAACCCCAGAATCCGCGTGATTTGGATGGACTGAAAAGTGCCCTAAGATTTTCCCTATACAAACGAGAAATCAAGTCATGGTGCGCAAGCGTACTTGTTGCTCGAGCGGACTGACAAAGCGAGATCGATAGGGCCGTAGCAGAGCTCACCTAATCATGATAATTTGAGCAACAAGTAGCTCGGCTCGAGGATTATTTCAAGGGAGACACGGAATTGAGAGTGAAATACTATAACCAGACGCAAGACGCAAGTCGATCCGACTAGACATTTTCGGTTGTCGATATTTTGATATCGAGGATCACCCCACTCCAAGTGCCAAAATCGAACATGAAGCACACCTATCCATATCCAGATAGTTAATTAAGTACGGATAGGTAGATGAGGATAATGCCAATACATATAGGAATATCGTCCTTAGTTTTTCCAAAATGTATGTCATTGAAATTTCTGTTACCAATGATATCATAAAATCATAATTTTGCAAAATAATACTGAGTCAGAGCAAACAATTGGATTCATTGGTTCGTTTTATTCCAAAATTCGTATATTATTGCCCTCGTGAATACAGAGCGATTCATAACTATTGAGACATAGGCCAAAGGCAAATTGCGTCATTGAAATATTGCAGTGAAAACATATACAAGGCGTTGAAATTGATTCTTTTTTCGTTTTTTGCTAATGATGTCACTGTATATTCATCAATTGTTATCAAAATCGGCACAGAGGAATAGTTTCATATAGGGAATATTATTTTAAGTACAGTTAGTTCAGGGGGCGCCACGTAAAAGATTCTTGATGTTGAAATCGACTGGTAACTTTTTTTTACAAAAAAAACTTTGCAATGATTTTGATTAAAAAATATGACATAAACATCATTATTAATACGTAATATCTGTTCAGAGACGATATTTTCATCCGTTTTCGAGAAGACGACAATTATTAGGTTCACAGTTCAAAGTCTCGGAAGGAGATTTCAAATATTATTTCATTAATGAAGAGTGTGCTTTGGACTGATAATTGTTGCTGGTTAATTTCATTCATTATCAGTGAAAACATTTTGGTGCGAGTTTATAGTCAATACTTTTTCGATTGAAAGACCCATCTTTTTCCACAGTAATATTTTATTGAGGGATATTTGGCCCTACTGCCATATTTTGATTCAAACAATCCGCCCTAATAGTCTATGTCCCAATAGTTATGACATACCCTGTATATGATCCAGGTATTATCGCTATGTTCGGTAAGGTGGTGGTAGGATTGGGAGGATTCACTCTGTTCAAAACGACCAACTAAAGAAATATTTCTAATTCCAATATGAATCAATAATTACTGATCTCTCGCGCTATAAGTCGCAGAACTATGGAGTTTCATAATAATTATATGAGCCAGTATGTTCTTCATGTTTATTTAATTTTTTTCAAAGTTTATTGTCAAATTTAAAATACAATTACATGTATTTTATAAGGTAAGACTATCAAGTTGTTATAACTAACTATAACTAGGTACCTACTTGATAATACGTAACAGTGCTTTCTAGAAACCAAATATTTTGTTGTTAAACTTTTTAATTTTCAATATATCAATATCATAATGATAAAATCGTATTATAAATCTCGATTATCATATCATTATTATTATTATTAACTGATGCCCAGAGATTAGAGTATACGCACAGCAATCTACCACGAATTTCCTACCAGAGAAAATCACCGGAAAAATCAATGAGTCATCCCGACACGGCGGTCTGGCAAAAGATGGCGGTATAGTCATATTCTCGTTTCAAAACTAATCTCTCGGAAACCCAGATCCTGCCCATGATGATAATTCGATACCCATATCTAATGGAATTCGTTATAATAGTTTATCTGAAATTTCTAAAAATGAAAACGAACCTGAAATAGTGGTTCAAGATTAATAGACCAGTATAGGTATTCATATGGAATATATGAACTTTGCTTCCTAAAATTATCATATCCGCTTACTGATTCATAGTAGGTACTGCCTGATTAGTGATTAACAGTGTCGGGCTGAACGATTTTGGCGCCCTGGAATTCCATTTACAATTTTTTAGTTCCAGCACAGTGGAATCCAAGAATATTTTGGATTTGTTTAAATTATTAGTTTGAAGCATATTTCCTTTAGAGAATGAGAGTCGGTGTTTAAAATGAGTATATACCCTAACTAATTTCGAATTTATTTGTTGAAATCCTTATTATCATCAGAAATACGAACATCGACAATGCATCTCTCAAGACACAAAATGTTCATGATTTTGCTATTTATATGTCGTTTGGATAATCAGTTTCCAGAATAGTGTTGGCTTGATTTTTCAATCAAAACCTAAAACTAATGTAGTCAGATGGTCTTGATGGTTTCTTGATATTACACAATCCATTCGACTACGAAAAAATTTTGATACAATCAGAGCAGGAAACATTATTATTTGTCTCTTCGATATGGAATACGCATAATATGTAAATTACTCACTATGAGAATATTAAGTTTGGACATCCTGATAGTTACAAGCTATTTCAAAACACACAGTGATTTCTGAGAAAATTGCATTAGAGGAGATGGTAAACAATTTACTGATAGAAGAGAAGCGAGCCAATAGCAACGGTCGACCTCTTCAACTTCTTATCAGTGTATGTCGATTTTGGGACCCACTAATGGCAGTCATTCTGAACCATACAGAGACTAATTCATTAGTTAGTAGTTTATAGTGAGCTTTGTAGTGAATCTTCATGTCCTAAAGTGCATCGTTTTCATTTGAGATACATTATTGAACAGGCAACAAGAGGCAGATGTTTCGATGATGACTCGTTTCCGCCAATTTGTCGGAATCCTCTTCCTCGCAACATTGGTGTCTTCACAATATAGTAAGTACAAAAATATGATATGCATCATTTGAATGGAGTCACATGCATTAGTGCACCTTTGGTTACTGTATCATGAATCAGTGGCTAATATACAGGGTGTTAGACAATAAGGGCGACAAACTTCAGGGGGTGATTCTTTGTAATATTTTTGGAAATTAATTTCACATAAAAATGTATCCTAAATTTCTTCGTTTTCGAGATACAGAGGATATTAACATTCACATGAAAAATCGTTTCTTTATTCATGACTCAAATCAAATGTCTTTGTATTCATTTCCATGAAACTTGGTGGTTTTGTTCCATATCTATATTCAATTGAACAATTGGAATTACAACTTTCTTATTCCATGTGTCACCTTTGTATCTCACGTAGTTTTTGAGGATTCAATAAGAATACGATTCACCTCCGAATGTTAATGTAGGAGCTCTTGAGACACCCATTGAGATTATTCAATAACCTCAATAAGGATCATTTTGAAATTTTGGGACTTTGTCAGGCTCCAACCATACCTCGAACCATCTGAATTCTGGAACCATGAAAATTAATACAGGGGGGTTATAAATAAAAACAATTAATACTTCCAACTTCAACATCCTGTATCTTAATAACGAAGCAAGTTAGCAAGAAGCAAGAAATCAGCCCCTGAAGTTTGTCGCACTTATTTACTAACGCCCTGTATAAGAATGAATAGGTATTGAACGATGATCCTCAACCGAGGTTTGTTTTAAAAAAAATGTATACGTAAATATGAGTACAAATTTCACAAGCATCGCTTTACACAATATACACAGTGTGCTCAAAGTTAGGAGGGCCAGTATGGTTTAAAAGATATGACTAAACACCTACAGAGGCCTACAAGCAAAAAATTGTATACTAATGAAATTACGCCTATAAACTCTAGATGATAATATACCCTCCTGTTTTCAGGCATTATCAAAGTGCTAACGCCCAATATGTAAAGGAAAGTTCAGAAACAAATCACATAATAATTCTTTTTTGAGTGAGTAATACTGTATATATAGGGAGAGACTTCGATTTGGGCTGACAGGCAGAAAATTACTTGTTTTTGATACTGCTGCATGGATCTTTCCTGGGAGAATGCTTACATAATGTTCAATTTTTGTAGCTACATCTTTCAAGTGAAGAAAAACCTGCAGAAATGTACATTCTATCGATGATTAAATTTCGTTTTGTCCAATAATTCTCAAACTAACTGAGAGCAAGATCACAAGAAAGTTGATTGGGAAAAAAACTAATTCAGAGTGTGGGAATTTTGAAATATTCATGAAGATGTAAAACAATACCTTGAAATAAATATTTTCTATCGAATCCTGGAGTATTCTTCATTGAAATTGAAACAACCTGTATATGTTTATAAATCATCCTTCCACTCTGTTCAAGTGTTCGGTATGAAATATAGTCAGAGAGTATATTCAAGTTCGAGGAAACGTATAGTAATCCTCCTATTGTGTAGATAAGATATAGCCCTCAGCAATTTGTTTACAAATATTCAGACTCATGGCAATCTATACTACTCGCGATAACGGAATAATCAAAAGTTGATGAATGGATGGAAGATAACTTTATTATAACCAGATAATAATTATGCTCCAATTTCTAATTTGTTTCTTCAAATGCATGCCTCAAATACATCTTACTATCTTTATGATCTATATATAAACAAATTCCACTTTTTTACAGATCCACTAAAGGATCCTGACGTATGTGGCTTGCCAGTATGTCAAGGTGAGTTAAAGAGAAACGAACTACTCAGGATTCGATATATTGTTGACATCCTGTAAGTTTCAAGGAATCGAACTATTCAGTTGCAAAATTAAGGCATCCATTGAATGTTTTGTCAATTTCACCAATATTATGCTTATGTATACAAAATGTTCGCTGATGGACAGTTAGTCACAGTTGTAAGTTGTAAGTACATGAACACTGTTTATCTCGATATGATTTCGCAATTTTTCAATCTCCAACTGACTTGGATGATGCGATGTGTCTGTTCAAGAATGTTTTGTATCCATAAATGATATATTGTTCGCATTTCTACTTGCCCAAAATGTTTTTTATTTCATCAGTGTTCAAGGAGTTGTGTAGAAGAATATGAATAAATGCATATGTGCTGATTTTCTCAAATTATGGTGGCTCTGTTTGAAATCAACAAAAATACATTCAATGTCAAAATCCCGAAGTACATGGAACCTTCGATTAGATTTTTTAAGATAATAAAAAATGTCGAAAAAGGGTCAAATTATAAGTGGTTCGTGCAGTCTGTTGGAAACTGTATAGCTATTCCCACACGAATTCATCGAACATCCGAAAACGCATCCGCATAACATTTTCAATATTCCAGGGGACAACAACAGGAAATTCAAATACGACTCGGACATACAACGCGACTACAGGTATTCCGTACTAGTGGGAACACTATTCAACGGAACCAGCCACAACGAATCCAGTCTCTATATTGAGGGAAACGTATCATTGTCATTTCTCACTCCCTGCGATGGCCTTTTAGCTCTATCCGACTTCAAACTGAGGGAGAAAAGCCCCAAACATGGTGGGGAAGATCCGAACCATGCTGATAGCAAATTATTCGCTAACATGATGACTGAACATTCTCTGAGGTTCTCTTTCAAAGACGGAATCATTGCCGAACTGTGTCCGAAGCCAACTGAACAAGAGTGGGTTCTGAATTTCAAGAGAGGAATACTCAGCTTGTTGCAGAACTCGATGAATAGATTGGATTTAGATCATTCTGCGGAAGAAGAAGATGTTCGAGGAGTGTGCCCTACAGATTACAGGGTTATTGGTGCTAAAGAAACCACTTTGCTCATAGAGAAAACGAAGCATCTAGATCGTTGCCGTTGGAAATCCAGACTGCAATCTCCGATCAAATCGATTCCAATATTTCAAACGGTAAGAATAACATTATCATTATCATCATTATTATCGACATTATAATTCAATAAAGATATGAACCTATAAAATTTCTCAATTTATTATGATTGTACTCAGCAAGTATCATCAATTGTTTTCAGAATAGGAAAAACAACAATGTTTTGAAGTCGTCGAGTTCCTGTACTCTTTCTGTAGACCACAATATCTACAAAGAGATTAATTGCAAAGAAACATACCTACTCCAAGGTTTTTCGAATAACGGCGAAGGACCTACTACGACAGTGATGCAAAAACTACTTTTAGTAGACGAATCGTCAAGAATACCGAACGAGGAGAGTGAAATTGAAAAAAGAGTTTCGATCATCTTCGATTACAACACCTCATCGAAACTGACGCACGAGGACTCGACTAAAGCGGGAGATTTCATCAAAAAATTGTGTCTACAAGATAATATGCCAGATCGGTCAGCACTGGCTGATTTATTCACTGAGCTCATTCTTGAAATACGGTCACTCTCATATCCAACATTGATGAATCTGTACGAACACTCCGGCAAAATATGTCAGACAGGAAGGTACACACAGTGTGTTACAATTTGGTCCACCCCTTGTATGTACTTTCGTATTCCTACTTCGTATTATCTACTTTGTCGAGCAAACAAAAATTATCAGTCACAATTTCTTAGCCCACTGCGATCACAAAAACTCGAAAAAAATCATGGAATGCGGATTAGGAAATTTTTTTAAAAAAAATTTGATGATGGCAATCGATTCAGACCAGTCACAAATACTCCTATTTCAATTATCAAAACTATACCTCATTATTAAAATGTTTGACTAATCAAATTCTTCGACTAACCGTGTATAGTGATTCTTGGAATTCGAATGATAATAGTCAGGATTAGATCATCTGACTACATAGTCAGGTTAGGTATTCTCGATCAAATCTTCATTTTTCTATACACTTTTCTTATCTATTTTCGCACATTATTTTCAACACTCCCCCGTTGTTTACAAATTCCGGAGAAGAGTTGCGACAGAGAATTGAAACGTGCGAAAGAGATATGAGGAAACAAAAATCTGAACATGTTGGGAATGGTTGCTGTTTCAGTTCTTTGTCTGATCTTTTGATGTTATTTTTTGATAGGTATTATTTGGATTTATTTATTGATACAAAATCTAAACTCCTAGTGATTTTAGTCCTTATTAATCTCACTCTGTAGCCAGATGACCTAAAGCTGATTACAACCAAGTCTGGTATCGTTCAAATCCTTATAAGAATAATTATACACGGTGACTTGAAAAATGCAATTATTGAAAAAATGTAACGTTGATAAAAAAACACCCCTTATGAGATATTGTTTTGAAAATTGATGAGTATAGGAGTATTTGTGACTAGTCTCAATCGATTGCCATTATCAACATTTTTGTGAAAAAATGACTAATGCATCTGTTTTTATTTTGCTGGAGTTTTTGTGATCGCAGTATAGAAATTGTGATTGATATTTTTTTTGCTCGACAAAGTAGATAATTTTGAGTTGTATATTACAAGAAAAAGAATCCAAATCGCCCTAAGAATATGCAATTCCAGGGGGGGGGGGGGGGGTGGACCAAATTGTAACACACTGTATACTATCAATTAAACAGCCGATAGTTCCTGCTATAATCTTCTTCTCTGAATGAACTAATTATAGACCATTTCGTTTCAGCAAACATTTATTAGATGCACTTCCCTACGTGTCTAATTCCGTCTCGATGGCCGTGATGAGGGAGATCATCAATAAGAAAGGGATCCCAGAAGGAACTGTCAACGGATGGATATATTCGATGAGCACCATTGCGAATCCAGACGAAGAAGTGATGGAAGTGGCATCGAAAATTTTGCAGGAAAACAATTCTTCGAATACTGCCTTGGGTATCTCATCGCTAGCTTACACGTACTGCAGTCAACATTCTGATTGCAGTAGCAATGACGCCGTCGAATCCATTGTGAACTATCTGGAAAGTAATTTCCTACAATCTCGAGAGAGGGGAGATATCGACGGAGTAAGTGTTTTCTACTTTCATTAATCTGAAAGTAAATGAATGCTTGTTACCTGCAGACCTACCACGCGAAACTCATTCTGTTCACAACTGATATTTTAATCGGAATCCGGATCGAAATTTTTTGAGGAAGAATTCCATGTTCATAAATGCGTGCATTTTTTTATAGCTACAGTGAATGCATTCTGCCAATTCGAGAGTACTGTACATGTAGTTCGTTCGCTTTGTCATTACTATTATATTGGCAGGAAGCATCAGGAATCATTACGATTATTAGGATTCGCTTTCAATTTCAATCAAACGCGATGCATATAGATAGGAGCTGCCGCGGCTACAGTACCTATATGTGTGTATGATGGCTTGGCATTTTTAATGCAAAAAGCTTTTTGTGGTACAATAGTTCGAGTGAAAATTCAAGGGAACTTGGGTTCATGTTGAATAAAATATTGCAGCATTCTTTCTCGGGCTGACAGTAGCACATTCATAATCGATTCATACATCAGGATTCATACGAATAATTTTCAAACTGGTTGCATCGGTGACCTGGAATCCGGAACTAATGATATAAAATCTGTCTTTCATTTCAGATGATTATTGCACTGAAAGCATTGTCTAACATCGGAGTGATATCGCAAAAATTCGAGCAGGAACTTTTCAAAGTGATTGAAAATTCCGAAGTGGACGTGGGTATACGAGTCGCTGCAGTTGAGACTTTCCGGCGATATTCGTGCGAAGATACCAGAAGTTATTTTGAACGAATATTTATCAATCAAGATGTCAACTCAGAAGTTCGGATTGCTTCGTATTTGCGAATAATGACATGTCCGACCTATTTACTCATTCGATCAATTCGTAATTCTCTGCTAACAGAAGAAGTTAATCAAGGTATAGGTCGATATTATTTTCAAGAACATTCACGTTGAGAATCATTTCGTTGTTGTTTCAGTTGGTTCTTTCGTTTGGTCGCACCTGAAAAATATCTTGAAAACCGCTAACCCAAGTAAAATAGAAGTTCAGAGCCTCTTATCGGACAGCGATCTGGTGAAGAAGTTCAATACTGACATCAGAAAATTCTCGAGAAACTTCGAAGGATCAATATTTTTTGAAGAATATAATATGGGTAAGAGAGAAAAGACAGCTGGGCACGAACGAAGCGTATCGAGAGATTTAATGAACGAATTACTCACTGCATCTATATACAAGGTGTCCCAGAACAACGTATCGTAAATTCTACAGAGTGAACTAGAGACCAGAACAGGCCGATTGAAATTTACTTACCTCAATACGAAAATGTACCGTTGAGTCGTAAGAAGGCGATGAAGAACAGTTTTATTTCCAGAATCTCTTCGATATTTCGGAATCCTTGAAAGGTACTGCTCTGAAATTCGTGGGGGACAATTTACTATAGTGAATGTACATGGCAAACATGTCGTACCAATTCAATCAATATAATTTGATGAAAATTATCTGCAGTTTTTTTTTGTAATTTTCCTTGGTTTTCGAGATAAATAGCATAATTCATTTTGGTGCTTCGTTTATGATGTATGATAGAATCATCATGTTTTGCTCGTTTCTACCTCATTGACTCTTGAGTTATTGACCACAAAAACCATGTTAACCAATTTGCAAGATCTTCATCATATGATTTGGGAGCTGGTCATTTCCAGATTTCGGTTCAGGATTTCTGGTGGAAAAACTTTATTGGCGAAAAAATAAATAAATTTGAAGATGACCAACAACATCATCATATACTAAAGTAGTTCATAAACATGATTATTGTGGTCAATAACTCAACACAAATGGGGTAAAAACTTGCAAAACATAATAAACGTCATAATCATAAAAGTTTGAAGTAGCACCAACAGGAATTTTGTTATTTCGATATTTCGAGACCCAAGAGAATTTTAAAAACACTGCAGTTAGAAAAAAGTGCGAAAATTGTATTTGTCATCCATCGAAATATCAAAATGTCGTCAGTGCCGTACTCCAAAAAAAGTTACATCAATTTGTATCAATCGTTCTTCATCGCCCTCTCACGGCTCAACGATATATTTTCGTATGGAGGGAGGTAAGTTGCTTTCAATCCTCCTACATTGGTCTCTAGTTCACCCTGTAGAATTGATGATACATTGTTCTTGGACACCTTGTATTTTCGATTCCAAACTGAAAATAATGATTTTCGAGGTGCCAATTCATGTATAAGAACATTCTTGTGGCATACAGATTTCCTGATTGATAGCAGTAAATCAGCAGTTCGTGATGCTAATTCCACAAGAACTGATGCAGTGATTATATTAATATTTCAATTCAATTCATTTTCATTGATGAATAATCAGCAACAAAAACTTTAAGGCCAGTCAATGACATCACTTTCGATTGACACAATCCACAAGACTGATATTATTGTAATTTTTGTTAAATTCATTATATATTTCATAATCCTTCTGTGAACGCAGGTTATCATCAATTTGGTATTCACTTTGTAGGTGGAAATTACGAGGGCAATGTTATATTCTCGCCATCCTCTTATATACCTAGATCGGCCATGTTGAATCTGACCATTGATTTATTTGGCGAGGCCGTCAATATATTTGAGGTGATTGATTACCTAGAGCACCTCCACGACATCAGAGTGGTATCAGAATATTATTTTTTCTAGGTGTACGGGAGAGCGGAAGGTTTCGAACATTACCTGGAATCATTATTTGGTCCGACAGGGTCTTCGCATACACTCAAGGAAGATCTTATGGATAAGTTGAGGTATCCGAGAAGTACCACTAATAACCAAATAATAAGGAGCCAAGTGGAAAAGTTGCCTAATTTACTAAGGAACGCAACGAAAGATCCCAAGGTTTGTATCAAATGATCGGAACAGACTGACTGATCGGGTAAAATAATTAATTTTTTTTATTGCAGTTGTTAGTCGGATTTAAGATATTTGGTAATGACGCCACATTTTCTTCGTTTAGGGGAGACGATGAGATTCAAGGTGCAGTACAAAATCTTAATCCCGTTTACCATCTGAAGAGAATTCTTTCTGGCAAGGTGAGTGTGATGTGTTTTTGAGGTAAATGCACTTTATTTAAGTACGGGTGCGACTAAAGTACGTTTCTCGAGAACGTGAACTTTCGCCAAAATCGTTCAGTTGGGGTAAATTCTTATTTACCATAATACCATAGGATATAGCAAAAATTGAAAAAATACTTTTAGAAACTGATGGTACTGCAGAACAAGATAATGTTTCGATTTGATGTGTATGAGAACATTAAAATAATGTGTTAAATTAAACTAAAAGCATACTACACTGTTTTACCACTAACGAAAACGCCTAGCAAAACACATGTCGAGGTGTTGAAAAATAGGTTTGGATGGTGGTAAAACAGTGTAGGGTGATTATCGTACCAAAGGTTATTTCAGTCTTCGATATATCAAGACTAAAGGTTTACTACCACATAATATGCCGAAAATGAAGTTTTCCCCATATATGAAAATTATATGTGTGTAATTTAATACGGGTGGCTGGAGGGTGCAATATTGTCTCTGATGATGGCTCATTTAATTACTTTCGCTACAGGAAATCAATTACAACAAATCTGCCATGTTTTTGGACGGAAAGTACGTTGTTCCCAGCGGGGCAGGTCTACCCCTCTCGCTAACTACTACGGGAACAGCCTCAATAAACATCAAATTATATGGGTCTTTAAAAGCTGCCGGCTTTTCCAGAGAAAAAGAACTTGAAGTCGATCTCACTGCCGATATTGAACCGACCGTCTCAGTCGATTTGACAGGAGAAATGTCAGTGGACGCTTATTTCGCCAATGTAGGGATTAAGCTCAAGGCAAATGTATATACAGACACCGCAGTACAAAGTTTCGTCAAGATCAGGGGTACCAAGTTAGCTAGTGTCAAATTCAGTCTACCTAGGAAGAAGAATGAAATAATCAGTATTAAGTAAGTTTACTATAATAGGTGTACCGGGTGGTTCATTCAAAACTATCCACCCTCAATAACGATTTTTGGTGAACATTTTTTTTTTGAAGGGTGCATATAATATAATCTCCAGTGGATCACCCGATATATACATATACATGAATATATACTTTTTTGGCTTGGCTTTCATAATGGTTCTTTCAAATTTTCCGGATGGTTCTTTCTTATCTTGTTTTCTCGGTTTGTTGGGTAATATACTCAAAATGAATCGATGGTATAGAACGAAACGTTCAACCAGGTGTTCAAAAACGAAGCACCCCATGTAAATAGGGAGATTCATCGACATGATACTTTCAGGTCGCAACTATTTGTAAAACGACGCGGCGTGGAGGAACTCCAAGAGGGAATATCGAAAAATGTTATATCGAAATCAGCATGTTCTTGGCCAGTTGTAGACGAGACAGTTGGCCTAAAGCTATGTACGGAATACAATTTCATAAACGTGAGCAGAATGGATAATATTCCATATTTCTTGGTTGCCGGTCCTGCTGGACTCAGGTGTTTCCTTCACAAATCCGATCCGACAGCAAACATCTATCTATTCGAATATAAAATGAATCAGCGAAAGGATTCGAGCATCGTTACTTTGATTTTTGATACTCCCGGATCCGCAGTGAAGAGACTCATGAGTGTTAATTTAACAATTGATAGGCAGAGTCAGAATCTCACACTTTTATTACAATCTTCAGCTGGAACAGTTTTGGCCCGCGGAAAATATAAGAATACGCCAGACGAAAAGTCAATACAAGTGGCGATTGATATTAATAACAAAAAACACTTCGATGCCAGTGCTTCCATCAAGAGAAACCGCATGAAAAACGGATTTTCATATACTCCAGACATTTATTTGGGGGTGAATGGTGAACGGGTCTTCAGGTTTTCGGGTGAGTCGATTTTCATTTCGCATATTCATTATTTGATATCTGAAAATATATCATGCATGAACGAACTATGAGCAACAAAGTCGAAAAAACCGATCATATTTCAAGTTTCTGTTTGGTCTGCAGATAATAACATGTTAACTGAAACTGAGTTTCCAACTCAAAGCTGATGACAATCTTCTCATTTTATCATTTTAGGTAACGTGGATCTCATGAGCAAAAAAGGGATATCACAGTATAGCGTCGAATTGAAGTTCGAAACGAAAAGATTTTATTCAAAGCTATATGGGTATATAACGACTAGCGGGACATCAATACAAGCTAGTTTGTTCAACGATTACAAATTCCAACATACAAAAGAGCAGCGCGTCACGTTCGAGTTTAGCGGAGCAAACAGATCCCGAAAAAATATGATTGTCTTTGATGGTGCCTACAATCTAGTTTCGACTGCTTATCCCAATATGAACGTTGCTGCGAACGCCACGTTTCAGGTAGGTATTTATTCAGACATTCCCATCAGACTCATATTCACGATACTGACTCGCTCGTATGTTTCCAGAAAAGCGGCAATCACATGGATTTGAAAATAAAAGTACGTCAGAATCCTTTGAGGCCTAATCATCCAGATGCCGATAAGAGAACGCTGAATTTCGATCTGTTGCTTTCATATAAGTCATTCATCGACAACAAACGATTATTCAAAGCCGTCACGTCTTTGAGCAGACAATCAAGTAACCTAGCGTTGAAAGGTGAATTCATCTACGAGACGTTCAGGTACGACGTGAATATGGCAGCATCGGTCAGCTATGGAAAAAACAAAGAAATTTCGACGACGGTTTATTGGTCGCATCCGCGATCTACGCTCGAGCAATTTCACACGCATATCAATATCACAATTCCCTCATTCACACCAATGGTCGTCAAACTGGACGTAGAGGAGAAGATTCCCAAAGAATACACGGTGGGTTACGCGTTACCGATGGTCAGATGATCAGTGAACCATGCATTTCGTTTGCAGATAGACTTCAACGGTGTATGGTTCAGCGGCCACAGCATATCAGCTGCGGGCTTTTATTTGGACAACAGTGATGCGCTTTCCTCAAGTCACCGTTTGAAGCTGTTGCTGAGATCGCCCAGCTTCAAGGAGACCACCATCGATCTGCAATTCCATCGTGACAACAACGTATTGAGAGTGGATCTGAAGGTGAGTGAGATAGGTAATGGATAATAATAATAATAATAATAATAATAATAATAATAATAATAATAATAAAAGGGCAGGATGGTAGATCTCTCAGAGGTTTGTCCATGGTGAGTAGCGACACCACCTTTCCGAGCTGAGGGTGCAAAATCGGACTGGCAGCGAGAACGCACCCAGAAGGAGAAATTCATTTCTCCTTTCATGTCAGCCGTGGGCCTGCTAGGTTAACCACCTGGCAGGTCCAAATACTCTGGTTCCCATCGACAGAGGACAGGGCCCCCACAACCGACCCCAGCCGGATAGGGGTCAAAGGCAAGGTGGTGGGGCCCAACAGGACGGACAGCCTGATAACGACCGCGACGAAAATGGACGCCTTGAGTGGACGGATGATCTTAGGGACGACCTTCTGCAGTGCTTCGAGAGCAGCGATCCAGGGCGTAGGGGATACATGAGGCGGATGCATGCTCTGTGGATTGAGCAACACCCAGAGCATGGAGCACTCACCGCTCAAAATCTGCGGGATTATGTATCTCACCTACGCGCTAGACACTACGTGAGAGTCCCTTCTCGGCAGGAAGATGGTGTGGAGGAACAACACGCTCCACCCATTCTGCTTCACAACGGGAGAGGGGACCGTGTGCTTCCTGAGGTGAGCGAAATCAGGAACCGCAGGAGCCTACTCAACATCAAGGCCCTGCGGCCTCAAGACCTTGCGAGGATGGATGAATCACTTCGAGGAACACTTCCGGAAGGGGCTGACATCTGGCACATCAACTGTGCCGTGTATGACGTCGTTCGGTCCTCTCTACCGGAGAGACCCATACAAACGGTCTCACCGACTGAGAGGGCCGATCGGCGTGTACAGAAGATGGAAGCCAAGATCCAGTCGGCGAGACAACACACTTCCCGTATCCAGTGTGTGATGGATTATGTGAAGGCCAACAGGCCATTCACGTCGAAGGTGCGACGAATGGCCAATACATTGCGTCGCACCCATCACACACTCAATGAGGCAGTGCTATCCACCATCAAACAGCACTGCCTCGAAAGGATACGGATGTTAGTGGCTGCAAAACAGTCACTAAAGAGGCGAGCGAGAGGGCTGGCGGAAAATAAACAATTCCGCGAAAAGCCCTCTCGCTTATTTCAACCGCCTCCAAGTGTGGTTGACAATCCGCCGACTGCTGATCAGGTGGAAACCTTTTGGAAGGGTATTTATGAGGTGAGACATCCATTCAACAGAGATACTCCAGCCCTGGCGCAGTTCGGTATCTTCTGCGAAAGATACCGAGAGCCTGAGCCCGAATTACTGCGCCAACCGATAACCACTGAGGAGGTTCGAGAAGCCCTCAAAGGCTCCAAGAACTTTGCTGCTCCTGGTCCCGACGGGATCAATAACTTCTGGTGGAAAAAGTTTCCCTCTACCCACCACCATTTAGCCAGTACATTTAATAGCTGGCTAAATGGGGAGCAGCAAATCCCTGAGTGGTTTATCGAGGGGCGAACCGTGCTTCTCCCTAAGACTGGAGATTTGTCCAATCCAAAGAATTACAGACCAATTACCTGCCTGAATGCATGTTACAAGTTGTTCACACGCATCTTGTACATGCGAGTACTCCTAGTAGTTGACCCGGTTTACCAGCGGATTTTTGAGCAGCGTGGGTCGAAGAGAGGTGTCGCTGGCTGCAAGGAGAACCTGTTGATAGATAGATCTATCACACAGGACTCCGTGCAGTACAAGCGGAATCTTTCTGTGGCCTGGATCGATTACCGAAAGGCATTTGACACAACGTCACATGAGTTACTCGTGTACTTGCTCAAGTGTCTTTCGGTACCCGATTCTATAGTGAGATGCATAGAACAACTGATGCTGGTCTGGAAGACCCGCTTTACCATAACATCAGGTAAAGCGAGAGTCCAAACAGAGCCAGTCATTATAAGGAGAGGAGTATTTCAAGGGGACTCCCTTAGCCCTCTCCTATTCTGCATCTCACTTCTGCCACTATCCGTTGAGCTCAGGAAAACCAGGGGATACAACTGCGGCCCACCCAGTTACCGGAGGCATAAGGTCACCCACTTATTCTATGTGGATGACCTCAAACTTTATGCCTCTGGTGAGAGGGATATGGACCAATCCCTAAGGGTGGTGCAGGAGTACACTCAGGCAATTGGAATGGAATTCGGAATGGACAAATGTGCACTGGTTCATCTCAAGAGAGGACGATGCGAGAACTACGACAAGGACGCGCAGCTCGTGGACGGAAGCATCCTACACCACCTGGATGCCGGAGAGACGTACACCTACCTGGGTGTAGAGGAAACTCATATTCAGGAGGCACAACGTGTGAAAGACGCTCTCCGCAGCAAGTATCGGCAGCGGCTCCGACAGATCTGGTCATCAGAACTGTCGGGAAAGAACAAAGTCGCTGCTACTAACATGCTTGCTGTTCCGATCCTACTTTACTCATTCGGAGTAATAAAGTGGACTCAAGTCGAGCTGCGACAACTTGACGTAGGTACTCGCAAGATGATGCATATGCATAAGAGTTTGCATCCAAATTCGTCCGTTCCACGGTTATACATACCTAGAGACCAGGGTGGCCGTGGACTCTTGAGCTTGGAGTATCTCCATAACAGAATGGTTCTGGATGGTGCCTGCAAAGTCATCAGGAGTTCGGATCCCCTCCTGCAAATGGTTAAAGCCCATGAAGAGGCAGGAGTAGGAGCTTTTCTATTTAGGGCAGCACGTCGAGCAGCCGATGAATTGTCTCTGATTTTCGACTCCGAGCGTGGGGCTCAGGACTCAGTTACTGAGCTGGAGCCTGCTCGGAGAAAAGCCCGCATCAAAGCTGCAGAAGTGAGAAAGCTCCTGCAGCTTCACATGGATAAGCCTATGCATTCGGTCTACTTCAAGACCATTGAAGACCGGGGCTTATCCAGAGAACTGACTTTCGCTTTTCTTAAGTCAGGCGGGCTCAAATCGGAAACAGAGGGGTTCATCATGGCATGCCAGGATGGGGTTTTCAACACTCTCGTCTACCGTAGCCGTGTCATGGGTATAGAGGTCCCTGACACAAATTGCAGGGCCTGCCGCAGGGCGCCCGAGACAATTATGCACCTGCTGTCCTCTTGCACGGTGTATGCAGTCTCGGCCTATATCCATAGACACAATGCGGCATTGCGAGTGCTCTATTATCACTTGAGGCACTCGTACGGAATAGACGAGACCCCAGTGCTGCCCTATGCTCCGGGGGATATTGAGTCCGTTGTGGAGAATGAGAGGTGCCGAATTTATTGGAACTTCTCATTCCCCACCCTCAGGCAGATACAAGCTAACAAGCCTGATGTAGTCCTCCTCGACCATCAAACCAAAGCGATGTTCGTGATCGAGTTTTCGGCGCCAGCCGAACCGAACATCGTTTTGAAGGAGGAGGAGAAACGGACTAAATATCGAGATCTTCTCTACGAACTCCGCCGGCTCTATCCAGACCATTCTGTGGAATTGGTCATCCTGATTATCGGCTCCCTTGGAGGCACACGACACACGCTACTCTCGGAGATCCAGAAAATCCCAGCGTGCCGTGATAAGGCACACATCCTGGCTGGTGGTATGCAGAAGGCCGTCATACTTGGATCATTGCGTCTACTCAGGGCACACGGTACTTGGTCCCAGTGATTACTCACCTCACAGGCTGTGAGGAGTAGTCACTGGATTTTATCCAGCACGACTCTGCGTGACGTCGGAGGCCGCAGGGTCGTGACTGGAATTTCATGGACTTAAATGAATAATAATAATAATAATAATAATAATAAAGCGGCTTTATTCATCATTATAATTTCTACACACAAAATAGAGAACAGTGAAATAAGAAGAACAAATGATGAAAAGGCGAAGTGACAGCGAAGATGAGTTTCGCTCGACTATACTTCGAGCAGACCATCGATATCAATTATCACGATCCATGTATTTTCTATGCCTATTCATCTGTCTGAATCTGGAAATGGTAAATGACGATCTGACGACGGATGGCGGTAAGCTCGTTGGCTAACAAAACTGTTTTCGACACCACAGTCACCGTTATTGCTGCTCTCACCGCAGTTGCTTAAGGGAGGGTCACCTAGCTGTGTGCACGTGTAGACATACCAAAATAGTACAAAATGTGTAATTTGTGCGAAATAATTCATTCATATTTTTCGTAGCAGAGCGTTTTTGACTATACAGTCATCATAAGTACGTACTCGTCAGGTTGACAAGAGAATCATCCATGAAAATATCTTTGGTTCAGTTGAGTAATATCAACATTATGGCTAATTACGGTAAAAACAGATTAAAATTTGTTTCCCAAAATGAGATAATATGCGTATCATCGTACCGTAATTAGCCATAATGTTGATATCACTCAATTGGACCGAAGATATTTTTATGGATGATTTTCTTGTCCACTTGACGAGTACGCAATGAAGATGACTGTATAGTCGAAAGTACTCGGCTACGAAAAAATTGAATAAATAATGTTGTACGAAATACAACATTCCATACTATTTTGGCTTACCGAAGTTGCCTCGAAGCACTTCATTCGATTCATCTCGATTTCGTCATTATTCAATTTCCATTTCGTCATTATTCAATTTCTATCGTTGAAACATCACTCGAATCTGGCTTGTCTTACTCAAACGTATGTCTAAATACTCACCATTGAACATGCATATTATGGCCTTTGAAATCACAAACTGAAGAATAGAGGTAACAGGAATCGAGAGAGGAGGCAGGCGATAGAAATCAGCGGAGAGACATGGTGGCTCATTCGCCAATAATTGAAAGCATGGCGAAGGCGCGAGTGGGTCCGTGTATTCGAAATCAATTATTATTGTGCTAGCGTTGAAGACTTTTTCGAAATTCTTATTTCAGTTGTTAGCAACGATCGTCTGTTATGACTCTGTATTGAAAACTGTGGATTTTCTTGCGAACCATCGGACTGAAATTTTGAAGATAATATTGCATAGTTTCGATTGTTTGTTTCAGGGTGTGTACGATAACGTCGATACGTATGAACTTTTCATCAACAATCAGATTGTATCAGAACACACGTCAACAAATGAAGCGAGGATAAAATATAAACATAAAGTTTACAGTTATCACGATACTGTTTATGACGGTGATTATAAAAAAATCGAAGCTGAAATATATTTAGCCGAGTAAGTAGACTGCTCTTGGAATATTCTATCGTGTGGAATGAATCAATTCTTTTAGGCTGAGAGACATAGCTTTTTCGTTGTATATCCTCAATAAAGATGACAATAAATCTCTTGGATTTGACCTGAACTGGGATGCAAACAGAGACCCAAATCAGAAACTGATGATTTCAGCTAATTACAAAAAATATGATTCGTTCGATTATACTGCCGATTTTATTGTCAGTTATCCAGGTCGTAAGATAAAAGGAGACTATAAATTTTTATTACAAAGTGAGTAAATGAGGAAGAAACAAACTGAATTCAATTCGAACGAGTGGAGCGAATTGAATGTTCAGGTACTTCCAAACCATTTTCATGTCTGCTTGATGAGTAGCTATACAAGGTGTTCCTAAAATTGGGGCGATACATAATGAAGAGTTCATTGAAACATAATAAGATGATAGGTCGCGAGAAAACACTTTTTGGGATCAAAAAAGAATATGCGTTCTCAGTAAACTATAGATACCGGCAACATTTTTGCTAAAAATCTCTGATGAATAATTTACAAAAGTTCCAAGCAAACTTTAGACGTCAACAGCTTTCAAGATATTCGAATTCTCATAAGTCTTATCATACCCACTTCATTCATCGCCCAGATTTCGGAAACAGCCTGTATGTCTGATGGATATAGAAGGGAATTCTTCAAAGTGAATTTGATGATTTGCTGCTTTCGCAATATTAATTATCGTGATGTATACATCTTTCAGAACAACATATTGACATTTTGACAAGCCTCGGATGGGCCGAAGGAAGAAGGTTTCAAATAAGCGTCGATGCTTATTACGAATATGAAAGACGACTCTATTTGGAAATTGCTGCTGAATTGCATACACCTTTTGATAACTGGAAAACAACGAAATTAGACGGAAAGTAAGAAGATCATTTTTTAATGCTGGGCCTCCCTAGTTTCGATAGAAATAAGAAAATCATTGTTGAAATATCTAACAGAAAGAAATATCTTTCCTGGCTAATATCTTACAATATCCAATTAAATCTGTCAAATATTTGAAATACTTGATATGAACAAATCGAAACATGTACAATTACTATTGTTTGACACCCATCTGAGAAAATAATTTTTCTATTTCGAAGTTCCAATGATGAGACAGCTAGCGGTAGCCTAATTTTACCAGATGTCCCACTATAAGTCGACGATCGGGTGTATCTCAGAAACTATTCTTCCTATAACTTTCGAAGAAAAAAATCAACAAAAATTGCCCCAAGTAGTCAATTCCTATAGACATCTCGGTCTTAGGTTGTTATGATTTTCCTCTGAAAGAAAAGCAGGAATAGTTTCATTGGCGGACTAGAGTGGGTCACCTGGTATATTACTGCTCGATTCAGGTTCGAACACGAGAACAACAAATATGATCTGCACGGAGTGGTCTCATGGGAGAGACGACAAATGGTCGCCTTCGATATATTCGGCGATTATACGTCAAGAGAGCCGTATTTTAGCTGCAAATACAGCTGTTCTGTATCCAGTACCATCGATCGAATCCCGAACATAAATACTACTATACAACATATGCAAAACGAGACCAACTTTGACACAGACTTGCACTTAATGGTGAGCAACAATTTTGTATAATTTCGATTTCTATTTCGAAATTCCTTTCAGTACAATCCTGATTTCGTTATTGGAGGCGAAAGTAGATGGAAAGTGGAGAGTGACTCGGTTTTCACTAATCTGACAGGTACCCTACGCACTCGGAGTCCGTTCAAAGGTTTGAATAGAGGTATTCTCGTCAGTAAAATGGTCTTGAAAGAGGGGAACTATTTGAGAGGAGCAGCTCAAATGGAAATAGACCACAAGAAAATGGATGTCGACATGGAGGGTTACTTTAAAAAACTCACAGACTGCAGACTGACAGTGAACGCAACTACTATTGATGACGATTACCAATTACGTTTCATCGTGTCAACCGAGAGACGCCAACTGGTGTCAATGATTTCTTATCCATCAGGCAAAGTCGGTACAGAGATTATTTTATCGTTGAACAGTATTACCGATTTCGATACGAGATTCATCTTGGCGACCCCCCTGGAGTTTTTACAGGACGTGATTGTCGTAGCCAAATTGATACCGGAAGAGGTAAGAATATAAACAGTGAATATATAATATTGGCCTTCCAACACCTCGTTTCAGGAAAAGTTGTCGAATATATTATTATTCATTGTACAAGTATTGAACTCCTTCGAGTAAAAACATACGTACCTCATGCTCAATCACACGCACACGGTATTTCAACATGAATATATTATAGTAATTATCCCATCACACTACTCATCGAATTTCACCAACGCCTCGACACGTGTTTCACTAACTAAATTTACCATCTGTGAAAGAAGAATGAAAATGATTGTCATTATATCATGATATCCTATATTTCTAACACGGGTCGAGGCTTTGGAGAGAAATGCATTGTGCCAAAAGTTATCGCAATCGATAAAGAAATACACTTGAAAACTCCAAGATCCCGGAGAGATTTCACTTTTTCCACTAGAAGTTAGTTACAGGAATTTTTCAATATTCACTTCAAATGATGATTTAGAGGATAATAAGTGTGTGGAACTGAAAACTGAAGTAGGATTCCCAATGTCCGTCGCTTGATTCAACTTTCACGAAAACAAACTTCCAGGCAGATTTCAGAGTGAGCTGGAACTTTCTTGTGGTGGGATTCTCCGGAATCTGGCATTATGCTAACGTCACAGATTTCCAATACTCCTACAAGATTTATACCCCCATCGAAGATTTTGAAGAAAACGGTATCGTTGGAAAACTCGTGCTCATGGAAGGCTTAGACTTGGAATTTTCCATCAAATTATCGATATATAAGGTTCGTATAAACAGATTTGAGTCATTTTCCCCAAATAATATTCGATATAAGTCCACCAACATAACATTTTTGTTACCTGATTCGTCACTATCAATATATTTGGCGTGCAGTGTCCAATCCAGTTATTAAGGTACTAGATAAATAATATCTGAGATTTAACACTTCATAATAAGTGATTATTTATTTTGTAAAGATGAGTGAAGAATGTTATCGAAAATTGGCTATCGAAGATAATTTTGTCTGATATCATAACGATATACCTACCAGAATACTCTACATTTGAGCCATATCCATATTCACATTCTGGAGGCATGAACTCCAGAAGTTTTGTCGATCATTAAAAATATATGCGCCGTTGCCATTCCACATACCGACAGTCGACACTAATAAAGAGCATGGTATGTTTGATATTTAATGAATTTCGCGGTGTCAGAACTATTATATTTGTACATAGAATTCATCATATTAATAAAAAAATACGGAACGCCTGTTATTCGGTTCATTTATTTCATTGAAGAGTGGACCAAGGGCATATATTATGTATATATGTTAATATAATTCTTGTTTTAATTAGTAACTCTGTAGAGGAAGAGCAATTTGCTTTACATTTCGAATGTTACAGAGAATACGATACGGAGTAGATAACCAAATGAATGACTACACTCGACAGTGGTTTTCTATGTCAGTCATGAGTTGTTCGTGTGAGATTTATATAGAACATTAGGTAATGAAAAGGGCAAGATGGGGGAAAACAAGAATACGTGTTTTGGCGAAAGTTAGAGAGATAAAGTTTCAGCATTTGTATGATCAGAAATGTCGTATGTCTGTCGGTCCTATACATAAAATGAATGGAGGAATCAATCAAGCTATGCTTGACGGAAAGACATCAACTCTTCATTCAATTCTGAAATGTCATAATACAATATTGAATAAATTCAAATGAAATGATTCTCACGTGTATGAACAACCAGGAATTTTGTAAATATTTTCGAGAGAAAACGGCGAGCATTAAAGGTAATTAATTAATTTAGTTTAGACCACTCGCTGAAACAAGTTGGTAGGTTTCGAAAAACTTAACGATAAATGATATTTTGACGAGGTCACAAGACAGCTGTGATGCCACTTGAACGTTCATTCAAATTCATCGAAAATCGCAGCATACAATCGCGAGAAAAATGCAGACCCAATCATCTATAGGAAAAGATAGTTGAATTTTGTATACCAACGGTTTTAGCTCGGCACCAAACTTTATTGCCAACCCAAATCGAAGCCCTTAGAGGCGCTGAATGTTCACCTGAAGAATGTTTATTCGAGAAGCAAACAGTCGACATTGGACGGGAAAGATGTCCCAGCAATTTTCAGCTGGGAAGGTTTAATAGAACTGGATATCATCATTTATCCAACGATGAAAGGTCAATTGGAGATTGAACAAAAAGGAACCGTCTACAGTCTACAATCGAAACTGATTATGCCACAAGGAGTAGCCAATATTTTTGACGAGTTCGAATATGCGGTGAGTAGATACACTTGAAGCGTTTTCCACTCGCCGATTCACAAAGCGCGCTAGCAAAGAGCAAGCACAAGTGGCCCTGGCTGGTTCTTCCAAATATAGTGCGGTTCCAGCAAAGAGCAGTGGAATAGAAATCGAGAGTTGGTGCGACAATCTTTTCCTTGTCGTCAGAAATGTCAGAATTGCTTTGTCAATCAGAAAGTTACATTATCGATAGTGATAGCAGATTAATAATACCTTTGGTTTCGCTGGTCCACATAATATGGATTTATCCACCTTGTGATTTCCTCGTGAGTTCTGCCAGCAATAGTCTTATGAATAAAGATGTTTTCTTCATTGTCAATGATGTTCAATCGAATGTCGACAGTAGTGATTTAGCTTTGAATTTAGTTTAGTTAGTATATTTTTTCATCATTACTGAATCAACAGTTAATGTTTGCGATACCTGCACATCTATAACTCATAGACTGTGATTTGAATTTGCGGTAAATGCTATTTCGTAACGAAATTATTCCAATAAACTTCAATGACACATTCATAATCATTTTAATTCCAAATATTATCCCACTCGAATATAGAAGGTTAAGTGTATCGCACTGTGGCACTAGCACGGTTCTGAAAACTCAAACTTTGAGCGAGCATCGAGGAAGAAAAATCATTGCTCGACAAAAGTTCGCTTTTGAAATTCACAGTGGACCACGCAAAAAGCGCTCAGTGCCGAAAAAGTTCGAGCTAGTGCGACGAGTGGAAAACGATATTAGAATCAATATCGGCAGTTAATGCTAAATACCTTCTTGTCAATTTTATTATGAAAATCTTCATGATCACTCTATATTATATTCTATCAACAGAATCAGTGGAATATAAGAGTGATTCACTATACTGTTTTACCACTAACCAAACCAATTTTATAAACGCCTCGACACGTGTTTCGCTGACTATGTTAGCATCTTCAGGAAAAGATTAAAACAGTTTTGATCTTCTCCTGAACATAGTTAGCGAAACACGTGTCGAGGCGTTTAAAGAGTCGGTTTGGTTAGTGGTTATTATCGTGCCAAAGGTTCCAGTCCTCGATATAAAAGAGTGATTACTTGGTTATATTGAATCAAAGTGATCATGCCTCCAAATCGGTGAATTCAACAATTGATAACTATGAAATCAGTTATAGTAGAGAACTGACTTCTTAAAGCAGTATTGAGGAGAAAAACTGCTCAACTTTGCAGAAAATCATCAATGCGCAAATAAAATTTCATGGGTATTATTCCGAATCTATATATACATATGTTAGTTCTAGATCCAAAGGATAACGAAGTTGCATATTTTTGCCGTCAAAATTCAAAAAATGCCAATTACGCATTGAAAACTATCTAGGCGCACGTGAAATTTCACGACAATTCCAACTTTACTAACAATTTTTGTCCTGAATCCTAAGGATAACGAAGTTGCATATTTTTCCTGCCAAAGGAACCAATTTTCGATTTCCTACCTGGGATCTCGGAATATTGGAGTTTTCAAATGCAAACCTATTAACTAGGAACTTAACTTTCAGTGAATTATTGTCTATATATAGGGACGGATCAAGATGATATCATATTGTGATACCACTTCGGAGGCAAGCAATGGTGATATAGTATATTTGGAAAAGTTTGATTTCAGTGTCGATCTGGAATCCGCTTCAAACAATTTTACGACTTTTCTCGAACTGGGAAGATAACTACGTCTGATAGAAGTGATGTATTACTTTCATTTTTGTACTTCTTCTTTCTGTGACATGTCTCTTAATGGCCCCAAATATACGAGGTCGAAAGATATTTCAGAAACATTTCAATTGCAGAATTGACTTGGCAAAGCTCACAAAAACTGAAGTAGACCTTGTTGATAATGAATTGACGAGATAATGTCAAGTGACTCTGTATTTATAGGATATACTGAAAATGAGGAATGCATTGGAAATTACTACTCCGTATTCAACGTTTGAACACATTACATCCAACATGGAATTAGAAGTGGAAGCTGGACAAAAATACTTATTAGGATTCAATTTTGACTACCAAAATCGAACAAAACTGATTCAGGTACGTAATTATTGATATTTTCAAAAAACAATATAATCATGAATTCATTATTCGCCATACCTTTCAGAGTCGAGTGCTCGCCAAATATTTGGTGGATACGAAAGGAAACGAAGAGAGGATATATAACGTTACCCTACGAATTAATACACCTTTCGAGGCTTTCCCTAAGCTGGATTTGTTTGGTGCGATCGAGGCGGAAGAGAATTTCTATCAAACGAAATTATTATTTAATACGAATGGAAGTGACATATCCATGGACACAACTACTGAGGTGAACATAATGACATTCGTTTCCATTACCTTCAGAATATTTTATAATTTTCGACGCCATTGAACTCCAAACCATGATAAAGAAAATTATATGGTATATATCACTGTGTCTGTTTGTCAAGACAATAACATGATTATTCTACTCACATACCAATTTTTATACGAGTCGACCACGGAATTCACTACTTTCTCAGAATGCGTGAGAGTAGTATTTAAAAATATCATCTATTCTCTAGACAAATTTAAAAACTTCTCAAGGGGTAATGAAAATTCTGTTTGGGACTGAAGTTCGGATGAAAAAATATTGTTCGTTCATGACAAGAGAATAAAAAACTCAAATGAATATTTTACCAGTTCACTTGAACGAATTGTGGTCTCGAAACATCAATATAAATGATAACGCAAGAATCCGCGGAAGGGGTCCTATACCGGGTGTCCCAGATCTTTTCATGCAGCCAATATCTCAGTTATGTTGGTCGAAAAAAAAATTACACTTTTGTCAAATAGATTTGACTTTGAAGCCGTTGAGTCAGTCAACTTCTGTCGAACTACCCTTGAAAAGCCCCCCCAATTTCAATTATTCAAGTTACACCCTATAAATTTTTTTAGTCAATTTGTGAAGTGCAATCTATTCTAACTTGATGTTTCGACTGATGTTCAACTGACAGAATAATGGAGTGAAACATTAATGTACAGAAGTTTATGACGAACATTTTAGTAGAAACAAAAATTATAACAGCTGCTCAAAATGTCCACCGTCATTATCATACATTCTTCAAATCGCCTTATCAGTTGAGATTGCCTATCATTTCAGCCGTTACTGTGGTGCAAGCGTGTGCAATATTCTCTTTAGGTCGTTCAGATCGATTGATCTAGTTTCAAACACGAATTTCTTCAGATAATCCCTTACCGAAAAAGCTCACGGTATCAGATCTGGCGAACGTGTAGGCCACCTAATAGAACCTCGGTTTCCTATCTAACTGGGAAATATTGATCGAGGTATTCGGTGACAATGTGGTGATAATGTGATGGAGCCCCTTCCTGTTGCCATCACATAAGTTGTCATTTTTGTGAAGGAATTCTCATTCTGCATGAATTCCAGGCGCGGGCACCAACAACTAAACTGTCAAAAAAAAACTGACTGAAAGACGCATGCACGAACAACTTGAAAAGAAGAACATAACATGATCTGTTTCCTTTGAAGTTTTTAACTTTGGTAGTACGTTACCTTTGTCAAAATACCAAGTGTGATACGTCATTGCAGTTAGTATTGATTGCAGGCACTAAACATATCAACGGAAAAAGTTATAGGGTGTGAGTTGAATAATTGAAGTTGGGATTGGTTTTTCTGGGGTAGTTTGACAGAAGTTGTCATATGTTTTTGTTCAAATTTTTTCCAATTAGAATAAGTGATATATTGGCCGTATGAGAATATCTGGATGCATTTAGGTCATTGGCCGAATTCGGCAATCGATCCATTTCCTATTCAATCCGTCGGGATGTACTGGTCGACACAAGTATAGTAGTTGAGGATGGATGAAAACGAAAATGCAGCGGAAAGAAGTTATGCTGACGAAGGTAGGAAATGGCCAGAGTAAAGGTAGGTCCAAGTCCAAACACCTTTGTCTTGCTCGACCTCCAATATATTATTAGCTACGAGTGGTGCTAGTTATCACTCTAGACGGCAGAATGTGTCCCTACGGGTCAGTTGGGCCAGAGCTTTCCCTCAAATCGGTACTTATCGCGCTACACGAACCATGTTCGGACAAGGAACAATCCATTTCCATTTCTTGTATACATTTTTTATGTGAGACGACGTTTATCACTTTCCTGTTTCGTTGGCGCGGTTCTTCTGTTATTGAATTCTGAAATCTTGTCCTTCATTCCCTTCGATGCGTTCCGCTTCTCTCAATTGAAAAGTTACAGTTACTCACCGCCATACGAAGATGTGTCACTTTTTTATTCCATGATAATTTTGTGTTCGATCTTTAACAATATTTCAAACGATTCCATGATCACCCTTGATGCTGGATAGGTACCTACATAGTACGAACTATACATGTTAGGATCTAATGTATTATGTTCATACAATTACTTTCAGATTGACAACGGCTTGTTAGAGTTGACATCGCAATTCCATGTGACAACTCCATCCATATACATTCCTCCATGTAATTTGAGATTGGTGAAATTATTTTCGGACACTGATAACCACTTGGAAATTAATTTGAAGATACCGGAAAAAATTCGAGGAGATGTGAGTAGAACAAATAAGATTTCAGCCTATGAATAAGGCAGAAGTTAATGTTATTGAATCTGAATCTCCTGTCTCAGATATACTTCAAGGCGGCATGGCTCATACGATCTCGAAACGAGTTCCGCACAATGATAAAGTTGGAAACCCCCTTCATGGGCCTAGAAAACACCACTGCTGGTTTAGACGTGCATATATCGACTGTGAAATCTTCCGTTTGGACTGTAGTTCGGATGAATCCAATAGATATCGACTTGAATGCTACTTTGCAAAATGACGTTCTGACAGCAAACTCTGAAATTATTGTCAATAGGAAAAGGTTCGTAATAAAGGTGTGACAGTAATTCAGCGAGATACTCCTTCGATCATTCTTGGGTTGGTTATTTGATGATCAATATAATTCATTATTGAAAAAGCAGATGTCGATAGTTTGCTTTGTTTTATAGGTTTCCGATATCAGTTATTTGCAAAATCTTGAGAGCGTCTGAGAACAGACGAGAATTTCGAGGCGATCTGAAAATCAAAGATACGTTGTACGTAATAACAGGTGATGCCGTTTCGGTTAGCACATTGCCATCGAAGGTTTCGATAAAATTCAGTCCGAAGGACAATAGTTCTCCAATCACGCTTGACTACCAGCTGAATCCAACTGCCCTAGGTAAATATGAATTGGTGGGCAATATAAAATACTCTGAACAATTCACTCGGTTTGGTGCTGATTTAACGTTCAAAAACAAATTCAACTGGGATCTCCACTTGCAGGTGAGTCAAATCCATTCTGAATCAGTTTATTGATTTCGTTTGGTTAGTGGAATGCGAGAATTCATCGCAGAACATGCGAATTATTCATACGTATGGAATAATTGGGATACTATACGTTGCAGGTTGATACTTCCAATAATGACGAATTTACTATCAATTCGCAAGCCATTTCTGATGGTAATACCATTCAGTTGAACGTACAAGGTTACACTCCGATCCCGAAACTGGAAAACCCTAAGCTAGGAGCAACTTACTCGTAAGTATAAAATATGAACTAGTTCACAACTGTCACATTGTAGATTTTGAAAAAAAAATTTACTTTCATATTAGGTATTTATTGCTACTCGATTTCTGGATATATTCGCCAAATTCAAACATTCAATTCCACTTTCAGTGTCAAAGGACTTCAACACGACATTCAAGGATTCTTCGAAGTAACAGATGCGAGAGGAAATGCTAGTATGAGTATAGTATGGATATTTCTAGAGAATATGTTTGTGCAAACTGTGGGTCGATTCGAAAATAGGGAATATACTAGTGAATCATCTATGAAAGCCTTCTACAAAAATCCCGACGAATCGTTTCAATTACTGAATCTTGGGGGAGATATCCAAATTGATAAATTCTGGGGGTGAGAATGTTCCATGATCGGGTGGAAATTTTCAATCACACGGCATTTTTTATAGATCTGGAACTAACATGACTTTGACTCTACCACCAGAAAGAGGTATGGGCTTATTAGCACATATAAGAGTTCCTGATGAAACCAATGAAGTCCATAGTCTATTAGCAGATCTGAAATACACGAAGAACATTAAAAATATCGGGTATTTGTTGAAATATAGAACAAGCTCTTCTTTGAAGAAGTACGGAATGTGGGGAGACGTAAGTACAGAAATAAGTTCTATAATAATAATATATAATGATTTAAATGATTATACTGATGATTATTATATGTATGTGAAACGAACAATTATCGAAAGAAATTCGAAAAACCGAAGACGTCGAAACAAAATAAATATTCTTTCAGATATCCATGGAAGACAAAACGAACTTATCAGGGAATATTGAGCTGGAATGGAAAGGCGAACGGTTCAATAACTTTGCGAACCTCAAAAGATCCGGGAAAACATTAGACCTAATTTACAAATTAAAAACCCCCAAGTTTATTGACAGGCAACTTCTCGTAACGGAAATTAAGTATAAATCTTCAGGCGATCACCATAATTTAACGTGAGTATAAATTCAAGTTCGAATTTTCGTCTGAAACGTTGAATTCGGCTGTTCCTAAAATTGATCAGATGTTCTAGTCTGATGAAGCTTTAGTTCTGACCACAATATATCAATGTGGCAAACTTTTCAGTTCAATAATGAAAAATGAATACCTATACAGGGTGTTATGAGTTAACATACAAACCTCAAAATTTAGTATCACAAGTGAAAGGAATACTGGTTCAAATGAATTTCTCATAAAATTTTAGTTGACCGAAAGAGCAGCTAGAATCAGAAAATATGTATGAAATAACGTTTTCTCGACGTTAGAAAATACTTAACGAAGTTCTCTTCAGTTTCTTCGATTTGAGATACGAACTTAATAGAAAGAGGTATCATAACAAATATCGAAGATGATATTATATTTTTCCCACCTGTATTCCAGATGTGATGCATTCTATCCTGAGTTTCGATCAGTTGCACATGCTACAGTGGATTATGAAGAATTGGCCAATATGAATGGAATGTTCAATATTACTATCCCACATAGATCCCTCAATTATACCGGTGCTTATTTCAAGACAGAAACGAATACGTGAGTATATGGTACCTTTTTCATACCACAAGACAATCCTGATTCATTTCGTATACTTTTACGACTGATTGAGATCCGCAACGTCTAGACAAGAATAAAAAATATAAACCAATAATTAGCTGTGAAATACCTGTTACAAGGTTACTAAAGTAGAATAATTTTGTAACTGATGTGAAACATGCAAATTGATGTCGAGAGCTTTCATTTTCAGAATCGCATACAATAGATACATCAAGGTATTCTGGGATGGCGATAATGCAGTTTTGGACAACAAATGCCACATAAAAAATGGACCCACTTTGTTTCATCGCAAAATGGAAGGTGACTTGATTATCGAATTACCATTGTCAACAAGGCATATTGCATTGGTTAACTATGTGTATGACGTAAGTACTTTTTATTGATTTACAATGAATATTATTTTGGTATCTACAAACTATTAGGTACTGCAATAATATAACGGATTATTTTCAATTTATTGACCTGGGCCATAGTGAAGTCAAATCAAATTCAATTCATGTCCATTTACTTTTCGTCAAGTCGTATCAATTCACCTACACTGATTTGGCATGGAAATTATTTTGGACGCATCAATGATGAATGTCAATATTATCGGTGCTTCATCTTTGTTCTCTCCGATACACGATTGCTGTATAGACGAAAGCTATTCAGAATTGGACATACTTTTTAGAAAAAAGCACAAAACAGCATTGGAGATGCCAAAGTAGACTATAACGGAGAAAAAGTGCTGGAAGGTAAATACACCTGCCTGTCGGAATCTAGAGCAGGATCGGACAAGGATACCATCCATGTGGAATTGAATAACAGGATGTTTCCTATTGGAGCCGATTACGTTTACAGGCACGAGTACAGTGTTTCAAAAGATGGAATCAATGCTGCTTCATTGGTAAGTGAATAATGAATCAGCAGTATCGTCATCTTAGAAATGAACAGGATGTTCTTCGGACCTGATTCAGGAAGCTGAAATGAAATCTCCGGAGTGGACAATTGTCCACTCCGGAGTTTTCATTTCAGCTGGATAATTTGTCGATTTTCTTTCGCAATCGAGTTGTTGAAGAGAAATTACCATATCATTCTAATCTGAATTCATCAGTTTTCTTCAGATGAGAGGTATTTCGACAGACAGACAATCAATAACTCAAAAAATAAGACGATATCGACGAAATTTTCTAGCCCCATAAATTAAATCTCCAAATCACAGGCGCTAATTTCGGGATAAACTAATGTGTATCAATCTGAATTATATATCACAGCACTCGTGCCATATGTGACACTTCGAATTCCTTCGCAGTAGACACTACATTGATGGATCCAATATCTTCTAGAGATCACCGTCATCCATTCCATATGGAATGGAAGAAAATCAATAATATTCCTTTGACTGTACCTAACTAAAGCTGTTAGATGTGAGCCGAAAGTCACGTGACACAAAGGAAGCGTCATAAATCAGCGCGGCCCACATGAAACTTCGTCTAATCTGTAGTAGAGTTCCTGCAGCAGCACTCTGTCAATGCCTTCCAAATACTCGTTCTTCGAGCTGCAACCTTTCTAAACTTCGACGAATGCTTTTAATTTTCCATCATTGTTCCTACCACTTCTCTATCTAATGTCTCAATCTCTCCGATAAACTAGACGAAGGTATAGTCAATATGCACATATATGGTCTATGTGCATAGACCATATAGGGAATGTAACATAATATTGTGAAATCGTTACGTGAAAAATTGAAGATTTGATCTCTCTTTTTCGATAAAATACCATTTGTTTGATAAATATCAATCACTTCAAAAATAAGTTAAGAACATTTGTTCACGAAACATCAAGATTTACATTCAGTGAATTAATTGAAAAATCACTATATTAAACATTCATTCATTCATCCACTGTGTGAATTGATATGCATATATCTGTGTGTATACTCACATAAGTCTACTAATAAATACCGATCTATTTCAATTTTAATCTATACTCATCGTTGCTCACCATTTCATTTTATATTATCATTCGTTAGATACCTACTGTATTCATTCCTTATTTCAACTTTGAAAATTAGTAAAGTCAGGGATTCACCTTCAATTTTATATTACTTGTGTTTTTTATATAGTTGCGTTGTATCAAATTTCATAATCATGAATTGTTTTAACTTTATTGTATCAGTAAGTGCTGTTGTCATTTTTATTCTACTTTCTCGAAACAAGTGTTTGGTCACTTATCGAGTACTTAGATCATTTATTGACTTCTTTGTAACAAGTTCTATTTATTTATTCATTTATTCTCTTATGAATAAATTATATTATTGTTATTATTTTAATATGTCTGTTGGGACCATCAACGACGGAAAGAATTTTCCTTCATGAATAATCATTGCCTCTTATTGCAAGTTGTCATCCTCAAATAAGATCGTATATTGTCTTGACTGATAGCGAACGATAACTTCGATAGTTCAATTGGGATTACTGACTGACGATAATATATGTGTATATATGTATGTACATTCATCAGAGTGCATACAGAAACATTTATTGATTTAAACTTTGGTGTATATATGTATACATACATATATCGTAAGTGATGAATGTGTGCCGCGTGGGGCGATCCCCTTCGTTCGTTTGAAATATGGGCCATCCGAGAAAAACAAACGTTCCCTGGACACAACTCATGAGCACGCTTTACTAGTGGCACATTGCGATTTCTTCCTAATCCGCACAAAAATAAATTATCGCCAGTTCAAACTTTCCTACGTCGCTAACTTTTTACCGAAATGGACTATTCTTGCGCAGAGATTTATGCCTCATTCCATTCTTCACGATTTATTGTGCTCTCATCACAACTAAACTGCCGATCTCTCTTGTCATTTTAGGAAAAATCAACCATCCGCTGCTTCCAATTGAATAGTTTCCACTAACAGTATTCGTCACATTAGTTCCAGTGAGAATGAGAACGTTTTTTAAAATAATGCAAGGAAAAGTTTTAGGAAATATAACATGTTGAGATACGATTTTTTCAACATTGTAGTCGATGTTTTGCTGTGACATTTTGAAAATATGAACCCTCTCATTTTTGTCTGCTATTTAGGTGGAGTTCAGAACCACTCTGTTTATTTGATTTTTGAGTTACTAAATGGTACAATATCCCGATGAAATAATCTGATTTCCACCTCATGAATATTCGACAAAGAGATTTTCATCGCATAAATTAATACACCAAATTGTGACCTTATTTTCCTCCCTTCTTCCCAGTGAATATATATCATTAAATATTCAAACAGCTGTTGGAATCTCATATCGAATAAAACATACTGAAACGAAATGCAGAGTATAAGTGGGAAATTTTGTGAAGAAGAAAAGCATTCCAATTAGTACAGGGTTGCTATTAATGATTATAACATCGCATTGGCCATAGATCTAATTTTTCGTTTGCCGTTTTGTGCTATAAACTATAAGAGTGATGATTGTCAGATTGAAAACACGAATGTGTTATATTAGTTAGATCTCGGCAAATCAAACCGGATTTCAACGGCCACTACGAGACTACAGTCATTATAGAAACTCTGTCAAGTACTTCACTTCTATTCTGTATGTTACGTTATATCACTGGAAAATCGCCTCAAAAAAAACCAATAACTTTTCCATTTAATACAAGATCCAGTGGGTAAAATGTTTATTATTTTATTTTCAGGAAAACAAACATGTGCATCTTTACCATTTGCAAAACCGATCGAGGCTAAACGTAAAAGGAGAATTGAATATTCGAACGTCTCGGAGTGGTCAAGAGTACTTTATTACTGCCATCCATTCGAACAGAATCGTTAGATTTTGGACCGACTATGACGTCATAGATAAAGAATATAAGCAGCATTCCCGTTTGGAATTAAGCCCTTCTAACTGGATAGAATACGACTTGAACCTCTTCGATAGAACTCTGGTAATAAAAATGCGCTATCCTTTCTTGTTATTGAGAGGTTCATCGTTATTTTCTCCTTCGAGGAAAAAACGATCCGACATATCCATTAAAACACGAATGTTATTTTCTTCTTACCCATTTACACAATGTTTCTAAAAGAGGGTGGTCAAGATGATGAAAACTAACATACTGTCATAATTTTGCTTTCGCCCTATATTCTCTCACATATCTAATCGGAATCGGAAAAAATGAGTAGACAGGAACGAAAATGTCTGTCGTTTTCATTACAGGATGAAAGGTACGATGCTCAGCAAGTCGTAATCAACGTGACCTACCCTCGCCGTAGCTTCACGGCTCAAGGTTTCTACAACATAAGTGATTCAATTGTGACGAGCGATGTGTCTCTCATGTGGGACAAAGATATCAAAACGGTGCAAGCAGGCCTGGATTGGAGACGTGCTTCGCCTCATCGAGAACAATTATTACTTATGATCAAACATCCTTCTTTCGAACGGGTATGTACTATACTATAGTAACCCGTAATTCATGGGACTTCGTCGGGCTGATGACCCCGCCTTTCGGGTCGTTCAAATAAATGATATAACTTACTACTCCGCTGCAAATGGTTGCAGTCGAGCTTGCATTCCCCTATTCGATATTGGATTTCGAGAAATAAACGAAAGAAAACAATATTTTTTTATATTTCGACTTTTTTGTGATCAGTTCGTTAACCATTTTCCATTTTTGTGACTTCATCAGTTGAAAATATCGAGATAGTACAAATATTTTTCACATCTATTGACCTATTGAATATTGAAGTAGTAGTACATGAACTTTTCTGGTGTTTGTGTACACACCAATTGACCATATACATCAGGAGAGTTTCTTCAGCACATATTATACCCTCAGTGTAGCCTTTGTTACATACTCCATACCCATAATAATTTTCTGATATCTCAGCACATTGCTGATATCTATGATTAACTCAACAACCGTGTCGAATCGATCGATTTTATTAACCGGGTGGCCCATCGAAAAAGTTCCACCCAGGTTTTCTCCGTTGTGATGCGATCAATAAAAAAACGCTCGGATAGGACGATTTCAATTTGGCTCGGAATATATTTTTCTGTATTTATTATATCCGAAAGTTGAAACCTTGAAGCGCAGGGCATCAACTTTCTAATTTCAAATGAAAGACCGTGTATTTTATTCCATGACCGGTCAGTTTTATAATTACAAACCCAACAAAACCAAGTTTTATGAGGTTTTCTCAAGTGGCTACGTGCGAAAATCTACACCTCAACAGCTTCTCATGATATAAACAAGGCACAGATACGGCCAGTTTTAAATTACTGGTCTCATGTATGGGGTTCAGCACCCAAACATACGCTGATGCTCTTAGATTCCATCCAGAGAAGAGCCATTCGCCTGGTGGGTGATGTCACACTCACTAACTCTTTGACCCCATTAGACCACCGTAGGAAAGTCGGCAACATCTCACTTTCCTATAGATATACTTTCACGGGAAATGTTCCTCAGAAATTTCTGCTCAATTCCAACACCAGCAATACCAGTCAGACGAACTCGACAGGCCCAGTCAGCACATCCCTTCGTCGTTAACCTTGAGAAATGTCAAACAACACTCTATCAACACTCGTTCGTTTATAGAACGGCGGAGCTTTGGAATTCTTTGCCAATGGAAGTATTCCCAAGAACAAAAACCTCCAAAAGTTCAAAATACACCTACCTCTTCTCCCTATCCTTCTTAGGTACGCACGATGTTCCACTAACACTATAGAAATTTCCTAACGTGCGCTTCAAGAGATGAAAAAGATATAACCGATTGAAATTATTTCAACAACATTCTTCATAAGTGAGACCGCAGAGATCGGATCGAACCAGTAACTCCGCCAGAACGTTGAGTGGGCAGCAGAATTTTCTCCGTCACACTCACATCTCCGTAGCCCTTTGAGAAAACCCAATCGAACTTTCTATTGTTGGGTTTGTAATCATAATCACTAACCTATCATGGAATAAAATACAGGGTGTTTCATTTGAAAATCTAGAGTTGATGCCCGTTCTGCTTCAAGGTTTCGATTTTGGGATTACATTACAGAACAATGTGTCCCCCACCAAATTAAAATCGACCTGTTCGAGCGGTTTTTTATTGATGGGTCTCCCAGTATATCAGTTATTTCCATTACATACAAATTCTAATACGCTGATATTTTGGTTTCATCAATAGGAGAAATGAACGAAAGCAAATCTTTAGTTTATGCGAATGTATTATTAACTTGTACATCAATAATACCCACGGTAAATTTCAGTTTACTTACATGTCGCAAATAGAGCATAAGGTGTTTACTTTGGGCGAACCGCGGGAATACTCTGCAATGAGCATAAGGATACATCAAAATATATTGTTAATAACGAAACAACCAATTATTTTTGTGTATAGTCGGTCGGTATATTACAATAATAATTATTGAGGGAAGCCAATCAGATATGTTTTGAAAAATGTAGTTTGCCGTTGCACGAATAGGTAAAATTCTCATTCAGAATCACCGTGAAATATTAATATACATAATATGTTTCTATCATTTACAATCGAATAGGAAAAATACAACTTCGAAGGTATACATAATAATAAGAAAGAACCTGTATTATAGAATGTGTTTTACAGGATGTTACCCTCCGCAGTGAATATGGCTACAATAAATCCGCAATCGATGGTCATATAATAGTGGACTATTCGTTGAATCCAGATCAAAGGTTGACGTTAGATGGAAAAATTAACGATAATTCTGATTCGGTTACCTACAACTACACGTACAATATTTTGGCCAAACACAATGCGACAAATTTGAAATTGAATTCCAGAGGCGATTTCTATTGGGATGCGAGTTCTTTTGGTACGAAACACGTCACAAATTACCAGAGATCATATTTGCCACTATCGATATCAGAAACTTCGGCCAGAATAAACATGGACCAGAACGAAATTGAATTGAAGGTAAATATATGATTTGTTTGTACCAAATTTGAATGATTGTGTATCCATTTTATCCTGGCTGATCCTACTCGTTGACTTGAAATTAATCGAAATATTGGATCTCGCACATGCGAAGAAAATTAAAATTATACCTACAGAATTGAATTTTTTTTTACAGAAAGACAATATCGCTAGTGGGAAATCGTATTTTTGGGGAAGATATGATGGAAAATATCCTGTTTACACAGCAAACATGTCGGCCGCCTATGATACAAACGATACAGAAGGGGAGTTTTATATTAATTTCCAACAGAAGTTACTCTACTTGAATCTCAACATGACAGAAGGTAAAAACACTGACGATGAAAATACAAATAATATACAGATTGTTTTCCGAATCGTTAGATATAGGGCATGTGAATGGCAACATGATTCGGCTATCGTACTTCTCCGCTGGATAATCAGAACAGCATTAAAACTGAAATTCATTATGCGCCGAATTATCTAACGGTGGGATTGCTCTCCGTGACTGCGATGTTGCCAAATGCCATCCTTCCTGAATACTATTATATGTAATGATTCTACAAACAATCTGTAGAAGGAAACGATACGATGACGTATATTCTCAGTTTGATGGAAACAATTTCCATATTGACGAAGGCAGAGTAGATTTCGAGAATCTTATAACAACTTACTAACGAGCGCAATTCTGGTTCAGTTGATGCTATACCCAGTGTCCCAGAGGGGTGGCTTGCTCCTATAAGGGCAAAACTTTTAGGAAATTTTGATTTCCGCATAGAATTCCTGTATGTTTAAATACAAGCTTGTGACATTTGCAACATTTGAGAAAGAATCATGTTAGGAGAGGTTTTTCGTGTTTTCAAGTTCCTCAATTACATGCAATAATCTGAACCATGATTATTTTACAACTCGTTTGTCTATTATGTAAAACGGCAAAGCTCTGGAATTCATTGTCAATGGAAGTATTCTCAAGAACTTATTACATCCAAAAGTCCAAAAATTGCCTGAGAAAGTATTTCCAAAAACTCATTATCTCAAAAAGTTGAAGAAAAAATCCAATACCTACCTCACCTCCTTTCCCTTTCCTACCTCGGTACGCACGATGTTCGTCGAAAATTATGGGAATTCCCTTTCGTGCGCTCCAAGCGATAAAAAAAGAACTTAACGACGACGTATCAGAGAGTGTCCGGATTTGATGCAATATAGTGAGCATGTCTGATCTGCGATTCCATTCCCGCCATATCTGATGTTTGTGATTCGAGAGAAAGCATTTTATTATTCGTAATTCACAGACGGAAGTCAGAGCCTTCGCATGTACGGCGTCATTCCAGACGCCCGAAGCGCTGTGTTTGATATCTGGCGCGAATACGAGGACAAGAGGGTCTCTGATGTTGCCTACTATCTGAAGCTCAATCATTCGAGATTGATTATGTCTAGTTTACGGTGGAGACCAGAGTTGATCGCCGACCTCCAGGTACGTATACATACAATGTATATACAAGATATCCCAAAATTGTTGGGACACAGGGCTACCACGTGTAGTACAGTTTAAAATAGGTTAATTGGACCCAACTTATTTCATGAAAAAATATACCGTTTGTCCGTGAGACGAGTTCAGAGTTTACATTGATAAAAACACATTTTTGTTAGCTGTTCAAAACAAATTGGATGAGATTTGACAAAAGTTCATTCGAGGTGATAACCCCTTTTTCATAAATCAAAGAAACCCGAAAAAAAAAATGTAGAAAGGTTGGAACCACCCTCACCCACTGACTGACTGACTGGTAATGGGGTTCTCAATTTTTTCAAACGAGATACCTAATTGATTATTTATCTTCCTCCTATGAAAATTTCGTATTCTCCATAGTTCCAAAGGGAAATCTTGTTTTCATAAATAATGCTAACAGATTTTCCTGTAGTTAAAGTTCAATGAATATGTGATACAAAATTTAGGTGGCAGTGGAAACAAATGAATTAACATTTGTATTGAGGAATGTTGGCGTGATATTGAACATTTATTTTCCACTGTCAACCCAATTTTGTATTATAATGGTATTCAACTTCCACTAGGAATATCTGTTAGCATTATTCAGTACATTGTTTTCCTTCGGAACTATTCGGAATACAAACTTTTCACAAGAGCAACAAAATATAGATAATTAATCAGTCATCTCGCTAAAAAAAATTGAGAACCGTATTAACATACCATATACATTTTTGTAAGTAAATTCTGAACTCGTCTCACGGACAAACGGTACATTTTGTAATTTATATAGGTTGAGTCCAATCAACTTATTTTGACATGTATATTACACGTGGTAGCTTTATGTCCCAACAATTTTGGGACACCCTGTATACACGCTCGATCTATGATGAAATACACTCACCGACAAAAAACACCGGTCACCAAAAAATTCAGCCAAGTTGTTCGCCCTGTAACTTTTTCAATTCTTGTCTGAGTTTGGTGAAATGTCCACCACATCATAGATTAATGTTCCGAAATGTTAGCCTAAGTTCCTTTTCTACAACATGTAATATGTTTCGAAAATTAATGCTTTCTATTCTATTTTATAAGAAAAGCTGATCGCTCGATCATTATACATTGAGAAACAAAAGTTACTCTTTCACCCTTACCTTCTTAACGCCCTGTGGCGAAGGTGAGTGGTTAAACTCAGCTTAATTATGTTTTGGTTTGAAGTGTGATTCCTTCTCAACACAATGGTTTTGATTCGAGTCGATTGCCACTTTTTAATATAATATACAAGTGTTTTAAAAAAGAACGTTTTCTTAATTTCAATTGATAATAATTCAGAACTATACTCCAACCTTCTGCTTCATCATGTTCTGAATTGGAGTGTGATCCTATTTCGTCCCTTTTTAACACAATGGTTCTAGATTCACGTCAATATATTCTTTTCAGAAGAAGATACAAGTGTTTCAATAAAGTATGGATTTTTTTAAATTTTTTCAACAACAATTCAATACCTATGGAACACCTTAGGAATGAACTCCAGAGGTTCATTCACCTTCACCTGGTTTTTCAGAGATTATTCAAGAGCTATATGATTCGCCCTTCAAGGTAATTTTTTAGGCAATTTCTCATGACTACTTGAGAAATTTGATAAACTTGCTGCAACGGTGGTTAAATGCGTAATTCAAACTCGAGGAGGGCATACTCGGTATTGACAACAGGTCTGCTTATAGTTTGTTCATTGTAAAGAAGGTTTTTTTCCCGGTAACTGCTGAGAAAATGAGGTAGAAATAAGTAATACCTATTAATTTTTCAAGTTGTTAATCAATAAGTTCATGTATGTTCTGATTATTGTTAATAAGAGTTGGATAATGCCATACTTTCTTAAAATACTCGTATCTTTTCCTAAGAATAAGATATTGACGTAAATCAAGGAATATTATATTAAGAAATTATAACACTTCAACCCAAAGCATGAAGCCAAGTTCATCAACTCAATTTTGCTACAGGGCGTTAAGAAGTAAAGGGCGAAAGAGTAACTTTGGTTTCACGGAAACTAATATTTAGGCTAACATTCCGGAACATGAATCTATGATTTGACCGAAACTTCACAAAAATCGGACATGGGCAAATTTTTTGGTGGCCTTTTTTTTGCCGGTGAGTGTAGATTGTACATACATAACCCATCGAAAGTGGGCCTTGAAGTTGATCTCTCCGGAGAGCCGGAAAATAACAAAAAAAATCACGCAAGGGTAACAAACATTTTCAAGGAAAGTTTTGACACTTGCCTTGATTGTGATCGTGTACGAATATTTCGAATATTGTTATCTGAACAAGAATTACCCAACCTCTTCGAATAATGATGATTGTGGAATTTAGTGTATATAGGTATATTTTTCGGTTTCAGAGCGATGTCCGTGGAGCTGTGATGAAATTTTATATCGACACTCTCGAAGGCATCAATAACACCAAGCAGTACGTGAAAGCGGAAAGCTTGGATGCAATTAACGGTATTTGGTTGGAAGCGAAGCCAAGAATCCAAGCCTTCTTAACCGATCTCAGGAATCTCACCGCCATCGAGGAAGATATCGAAGAGCTCAAACTATTTCTGAACAATTCTTACGAAGCTAACGAATTTTACATCAGAGACATCATTTCGACTGTCAACTACATGTTTGACGAACTGGCTCTCAAATCGCATTTTCAGTCTCTGCCGAAGATCGTTCAAGAAATTTGGTCCGTCATGGGCGACTCTGGCCAAAAGTTAAAAAAGAGCGTATTGTGGGTGATCGAAAAGGTTTGCTCAACATAACCATCTTATCTATAATTCGAATCTCCATCTTTATAACCTTTTCATTATAGATAAAATTCTACTACAAAGAAACCACTGAATTTATCCACGAACTAATCACTGGAGATCCAGTTGAACATCTTTCGACTGGTATTGAGAGGTTAGTCGAAAAATACGACAGATTCATCAAAGAATTGCACGTTGCAGCCATACAGTACATGGAGAATTTGTGGTCGCAAATCTCCAGTTTGATAGTGGACTATTGGCACAAAAGTTTGGCCAGTTTGGAGCCAACATTCTTAAAGATGATACATTACCTCGAATCGATCGGATGGGATACAGTTAAAGGGTTTTTAGGTAAATTATCTTTTTTTCTTTATAATATTTGAACTCTGATATGCAACAATTTGTTTCAGATTTCCTGTATCAACGAAAAAACCAAATCATAGAATCACCGTATTTTGCTAAGATTGCGAAATTTTCCCACGATATCGACAATTTTTATAAAGATATAACAGGCAATAACACGTTAGTAAGTATTTACAAGTATTCTGAAGTGGGCTGGAGATTTATTACGGAAAAATACATCAATTCCATTCCTTTCGGAAAAGAAATTATGGATATAGTTGATGAGATTATGACTGAACTGAAGCAAATAGGAGAAATACCCTCGATTAAATACTTAATGAATAAATGGTACGAGTCCTACGAATACTTTCGATACTATTACTTCTACTTCGATATGGAGACCAGAATTCACAAAGTCATGAAATTAGTTTATACCAAAATTTGTGACTTGTCCGTGACTGCATTGGAATATGACAATAGGTATGTATCATGAACGAGTGGGTATGGGCATTATAAAGAAATATACTTATTTTGTAGACACAGGAAACCGAAAACGAAATTCATATTCGAACCGAAAGACGGCATAATGGTGTGGGAGCAGAAACTGCCTATGTCGTGGCACGCGTTCAACGAGACGCCCAATTTCAAAGTAAGTATTACTTGCATACTGCATTATATGAGAACATTTGGATTTGGAACAATCTTCGGGATGATAGACAACTGAATACTTTGCAGGAAATTCCAGAAATCAAAAGAATATACGAAATAAAACATTATTTGGAAGTCGCTCAAGGATCTTTCTGGGAATTTTACTATGATTTCAAGCCACTCTCAGACCCTTCCCAATGGTTCCCACCATTCAAAGGTGAGAGTGATTGAATTAAAAAAGAAAATCCTACAAGTAAAGCTTCATTGCCGTTTCAGGTCATGCGATGCTAACGGGATCAAATTATTTTGTGACATTCGACAAAAATTATTATCATTTCCAAGGAAAATGTACCTATCTATTGGCAACTGATTATGTCGATCGAAATTTCACTCTGCTAGGATCCTACAACGATATAGGCAGAACGAATGAACTAGTTTTGATACTCGGAAAACACATAGTACATATTTATATATTCGAAAATGTGAGGTGGTTATTTTTTTTTTCCTTGGAAATTGTTTCTAACAAAAACGACACATTTTAGAAAGTCATCATCGATGATGCCAAACTGGAATTGCTGCCTGCTCAAATAGGAGAGACGTATCTTTTCAGGGAAGCTGGATTATTCAAGGTGGAGAGTACTCTAGGATTCGTTCTGGAATGTAATATGAAATTCCACACGTGTACATTCGAGATGTCAGGTAATGAATATTTCAAGATCCCGTATAGTTCATTCTTTGTTAAAATGGAATATACGAAGAAAATACTAGAAACGATGTAACAACCAATAGAACAGAAGGACAATAATCAGAAACATTCAAATCAAAAGTAGCACACCAGTTTTACAACAGGGATGAATAACATATCGACATGTTATTGACATACTGGAAATAAATTCGCTATCGGGAAGGTGAATGATTTTTCTAAAAAGTCGCGGGGCACGTCAACGTCTTAATGTAGTTATATACGTTCATTTTGCGAGCAATATGAATATATTCCTTCGGGAGTAGCTTGAATAAACCCAAGTTTTGTTTTCAACTGAATCTCTATGGCTTGCAACCCCTCATAGGAAAGGTGATAGTTGAAAGAGCAATCCAGCGCACTAATCAAATTCTAATTTGTAGTACGTTTGAGGGTTGCATGAATTCAAAACATAATTATCAGTTTTAATAATCTTCAACGTGTTTTCATCAAAATTCCGATTGTTAGCGATACAGTTAAAAAATGCATCTTTTCACCAGTTCGCAACAACACTTCGTTTAGAACTGTGAATAAGGTATACCAACTAATTTATTTTTGCGACTGTGTAAAAACACTGACATAAAATAGCAGATATCATTGTGCCAAAAAATTGTCAAGTATTGTCATTCCTTGCTCGCACAATACTTCTGAGAGTTGCTCGTAAGGAGGCAATCGAATGACGGATAGGAACAATTCCAGAATAACATTTATTCAACACAAATTTTGAGAAGTTGTTGTTACGTTCAAAGTAAAGTCAATTTTGAAGTAATATTTTGATTTTATGCAACCCTCGAAGTACTAAAAACTAAAATTTGATCAGTAAGCTCTGGAGTCACAGGCTATAGGGTTGCATTTGAAAAAAATATGTCGAGCTACCCCTGGAGGGCTATAGTCTTCATATTGCTTGCAAAATGTAGGTCAATACATTAAAACGTTAACGTATGTCGGGAAAATATTCACCTCTCCGCTAGCGAATTTATTCCAGTTAAAGTTTCCAACCTGTCCATTATAACCAATAACATTAATAATGATAATTCTAACATGCCGTACCCTATGAGGAACAACTATATTATCTATTGTATATGTCCATATTAGGGTGGTACTATGGAAAAACAGCGGGACTCTGGGGGACGTATAACAATGAGCCATCGGACGACCTATCGACTCTCGATAACCACAGAGCGATCAATTCCAGTTTGGAAATATTCGGAAACAGCTGGGCATTAGAAAAGAGCTGCAAGAGCAGTTCCACGAAGAGAGACGAACCGAAGGTCTCAAATCCACCAAGAATAGCGGCCATGTGCGAGGAGTTCTTCACCAGCAAGGTGTCCCAGCTGAGCACTTGCTTCCCGAGAATAGCGAAAGATCATTTTCTGTCGATGTGCCTTGACAGTCGCAGCGAAGAGGAGGCCTGCATGTCTGCAGTGTCTTACATTAACCTATGTTCGTATGCTAATACGCCACTCAGAATACCAGACACGTGTGTAAAGTAAGTATCGATTACCATAATGGAAGATCGATGTGCATGTGTTTCATTCGCTTCCCAATGAAATCCGTGTCGAAACACTCTAACGGAATATATATTGTACAATCCAATCAGTTGAAATTGTCATACATCCAAAAATAAGTCGAAATCCACTGCTCAATCTGCTCGATAATATTATTGCTGAAGTTTCAATTTCGATAACGCGAAACTGTTAACGATTCAGTATTTAACTTGATTTTCAACATTATTCAATTCGAAAGGCCTAAAACGAATGATACCACGATTTTATTATAATCAGAAATCTAAGGATAACGCACATGTTATAGAGATAGATTATTATCGCAAAGTGCAAACTAGAGCAATCAACAACCATCTTCCAACATCATACCCCAGATGCAGTGAAAAGAGCATTTCGCATTTCAAATGTTCGCCAAAAATTAAAACGCTTGATATAGGAATGAAACTGTGTGACAAGAACTGAAATTTAATAGGTGATAATATCGGTAGAGACTTAGGACTTTTTGTACCTTCGCAATCAGTTCTTCTCTTTTTAGGTGTAATTTACTAAATGGAACGGAGAAACAAGAAGGTGATTTCATTCGATTACATGGTAGCGATGTGCCGAAGACGGCCGATGTCGTTTTTATAGTAGAAACCAAGAAGTGCAATAGGGATATAAAAAAACTTCGAAATTTCGATATTTTAGTTGAATTATTAGAGAAAGAACTGGGAGAACTCAATATCAAAAATAATAAATACGCCGTTGTGACATTCGGAGGAGATGGAGTTTTCGATGAACCAAGAAGTATTGTAGTCGATGGAAAAACATTTGCCGACTCGAAATCCATCATGCCATATTTTGATAATATGCCTTTAGGTATATTAACCAATATTATGACCACACGAAAGATTCTTAATAACGAAATATTTTCAGGAAATGGAAACGCTGATATCTTCAATGGAATTATGTTTGCATATAGTCTTATATTCAGAACTGGAGTTTCGAAAAATTTTGTTCTGATACCCTGCTCTGAATGTAACCACAACAATATGCTTGTAAGTATCTGAAACTGGTTCGTCTAATATGTTCTCTTCCGTCCTCACCATATTTCACAATTGGGATTCAATACAATTCACAAAAAATACTACATTGTCCAAATTTTCATCGTATATTGATTTTGCAATCTTGTAAAAAATGTTGTGCAAATTCAAAGAGGCGCCGCGACACGGATGTATACTATTTCCTTATAAAGGGTGTCCCAACAAGAGCGCCGGATTCAAGTGTGTCGCCATTTCGTTAATACGAGTGAGTACGGTGATATATTTTTGACAATTTTCACTCACCACCCGATTCAAGAATATGAAGGAGCAGTCGAACAAACAACGATTAGTTATTGTAAGAACACATTACAACTAACCCTGTTGAAGGTTTTGCGAAAACAGTTCGCCAGTTACGAAAATTTTCGGTCGCAATAATGCGCCAAATGAATCGACAGTGATATTTTTCATTTGAAACCAAATTTGGTATCAAATTTCGCAATTAAACGCCTCACTGTCGATTCATTAAGCGCATTATTGGGACCGAACAATTGTTGTTAAATTGCGTGGTCTGTACGTGACCACTGTCAACAAAATCACCGTGAAGCACGTTTTAACAAACTGGCGACATATTCAAATCCGGCGCTCTTGTTGGGACACCCTATATACTCTCCTTTCAATCAGATTTGTGAACGTACATTCATGTGAGTAGTGGCTAGTGACTCTCACAAAAGAATTTTACGTTTCAGAATGAGCCTTCGATTTCGGTTTCATCCACAGAACTCAAGTTTCATCGATTTTTGTTCATTTGAAATAACCTTCATGTATTTTGTGAACATCTACATTGTATAAGTAAATGAAAAATATTATGTATAGGCCAATTTATGTTCGATATGTTGAAGACTGCATGCAGTAGTTAATAAGCCCTCGCTCCGCGAATTTGCCATTTCTATAGGGGGAGAATAATAATAATAGTAGGGCCCAAAATCAGCAGCCAGATGATTGAAAATTGTTTCGAAGAGGGGTAGTGCCCCAGCTCAAATTTGTTACGGTAGTTTTTATTTCAATTTTCTTGATATAGCATCAGCATTCACGAAACTGAATTTAAATACTTTTCAGCACGACTATTCAACCATTCATCAACTACTCTCGGAAAGTGCTATTTCACTACACATTTTGATGAACGATCACTTCGCTGTTCAAAAGGACCGTGAAGGAAAAATTCCATTTGGTAAGTGTACTACCCATTATGAGATCTAGACTATTCCACTCTTTTTCTCCAGAACCAATCAGAATCGACTATTTTCACGGTTTCTCTTGTATTACAGTGATATTTCTTGTTCACTGAAAATTATCGAACTTGGTCTACCAATACAGAAGCCGAATTGACTCACACGTAATCAACCAACCTAATTTATCAGCGATAAAAGTTTCGACATTTGAAACGTCAATTAGCTTGGAAGCCAGAATGACGGAAGCAGAGTGCGCAACTCTCGTGAGGCGCTCGTTTATTGTCTGATTCAATCATGAAACAGCAGGAGCGTATACAGCTCAATTCCAAGGGGGAATTCAGGTTTCAATTCAGTTAGATTTATTCAACTGGAAATTGGAATTTCCTGAGGGCAAAAAAACTCGAATTATAAATTTAAAGTTTAGTTCCACCTGGAAAAAATGTTTCAGTGTAATTTGGTGAGACGATTAAATGAATACCTAAATCACATTATTGTTGATGGATTTTTCAATTTCTCCACTAGAAGACGACACTAAATCACGATATTTCTACTGATTGAAAACTCTTCTGATAAATCAAGTTTGAGGAAAAAATAACATTAACACCATCAAATATTTGTTTACAATTTTGGTTGTAAAAGGGCAATCTTTTTTAGCTGTCATAATGACAAAAATCACAGCGACGAACGGAATTTTATACACATAAATTGAATTGTCAGAATGAAAAACGAACTTGCACGCTGCAGTTTTGGCCAAGGTTTTGGCATTTTCCAGTTTTTAGGAGGAAATAGAGTAAATACAAGGTTATAGGTATGCGATGAATAAAAATCATTTTGTGAATCTCAATATTGATTTTGATTGTAACACTGAATTTTTTTCGATCGTCTGCGGGGGAAGTTTCAACCCCCATTACCCCCCCCCACCCCTTTGTATTGTGAAATAGTCATACGAATACAACTTGTGATACTATTTTTCCCGGAAATATCCGTCGTTTGTCATACTCCAGCTTGCTGCTTTGATTTCGCTCATGACATTTTTCCAACAACTTCTCGCCTACGTTTTGAAAGTTTAGATGAACAATGTTATTCGAGAAATAATTAGACAACAAGCTGTCGCAACAATCGCCGAATATTTCCGGCAAAATAGTATCACTTGTGGTATTACATATGAAAAAACTACCTGAATACAGATCGATAAAACTATTTCAAGTGCAAGTTCTTTGTCTGTCTCACAAAGACGATTGGTTCACATAAGGATAAGCGGATTTATTATTTCGAGCGTGAAGGCCCCCAAGCACAAACGATGATAACCTCCCCTTCAAAACGCGTCAAATTAATAATACGCATCAAATGCTATGAGGGGACTTTCTACGAAATGACTACGATCCATTCGTCGAGATTCGCGTATTGAATTCAGTATATCCAGAGGTATATGTCGAGAACAAATGAAAGGAATAGTGTAGTTAGATATTTGTTAAATCATTTGGTATTAATTTGAGCAATTTGATGCGATGTTATACATAGATATTTTAATTATAACTAGTGGCCCGGCAATCGTTGTTTTGCCATGAACATCATTTTTTTCCAAACTACTCTTTATTTTCATACTCATTTCTTTTAGTTTGGCTATCTATAAAAACGTGTTTCGTTAGTTTTTCAAACTACAATTTATTAAAATAGCTGATACACGGCAAACGTTGTTTTGCTATATACATTTATTTCTAGAAAATATTTTTTTAGTTAAATCAACACACTTTTTTTACTTCTTTTTAGTTTGGCTATCAATAAATTCGTGTTCCATCAGTATTTCAAATTACTATTTCCATTTTCTACTTCTTCCAAGTTCTACAATCTATCTCGTTTTTTAAACTATACTATCAATTTTTCACTTCTATTCAGTTTGACCTCGAGTTTGGCGATCCATAAAATCGTGTTTCATAATAGTTTTTCTAACTACTATTTATTACAGAGCTCTTTGGCCATATTGGATCCACCAAATTTTTAAGAATATATCATAATCTCCGACCTCGAAAGTCGTGAAGGGATGCGAGAACGGGTTCTCTGTGAATCATTCATTCGAAAACAACAAAAATGTGTTCAATCCATAACCAATTTTGTTCTTGAGGTTTGAATACTCTGTATTTCCAACGTTGTCTATGAATAATCGAACCGATTTGTATACAGAGTGTCCGAAGATAAAACCGACGATACTCATGGGATTATAGGCACTGCCAATATGATTGCAAAATGCCATATTCATATGTCCAGTCGTCTTCAGAAAACATGTCGCATATGGACGATGATAGCATTCCTAATAACTCCTGCAATAAGAGCGCTGACACCGTTCAACCGCGCCATGATCTCTGAAGACGACTGTCCAAAACCGCTTGGCTAATACCAAACAAAGTGATTCATGGATTTTGACAAAAAAAAACTACCATATTGAATACAGGGATAACCCGATTGGGTTCAAATTTGGTACATGAACTAAACTCAAATGCTTCAACAAGTAGCCTTATGAACAAAATCAATATCAGGACAGGAACATTATTTCTTTTTTTCTACGTTTAGTTATTGAGAGAATAACCCTGTATAATAATAATCAAAAATCTGAGATCATATTATGAAGCTACGAGAAAAATACTATAGGAACTTGTTGACAAAGTTTCTGGCACAATCTCAGTTATGGCCCTTCTGGACCATAAGAAGTGCATTGGTAAGCGCCCCCTAATGGCCACAGTGAGAATGTGTCCGTCTCGGGTTCCGCATCCCAAAGATCCCCCCGCCCGACTACCAATTTTCAAAGTGATACGTTCAAAAGTGTTCATAAACTTTGAAGAAATTCGATTTTTACTTTTGAATCCTTGTGTTTAGTATGTTAGATTGATTTTTGTCAAAATCCAAAAATCACTCTGTATGTCAGTAACGAAGCGGTTTTGGACATTATAATTATGTATATGGCATTCTGCCATCATATTGACAGGCCCTATAACCCCATAAGTTTTGTCGGTTTAATCTCTGGACACCCTATATATATATATGATTTTGTTACTGGGAATCAAAAGGGTTTCCGTAGAATTCCAAACTATACGCTCACTAGAAGAAATTGCAACGGTTTTCCTTCAATTTTTAGGACTTATGATATTTATCACTCATCTCTATTATTGATATCATGCCAAACAGTGTGTAATACATATTTCAGGAATTGATAGACGGTACGCCTACACCAAGAGAGACATAAGAAGTCTTTTGGGAGATCAGCCCCTGCGAAAGTCAATCATTCTCCCTAAATCTACCTTGGGTCCTTGCTTATCTCTGGCCCTAGAAACTAATGGTGAGTCAAACGATAATGGTATACAGTGGGAAAACTTATAATGGAATAGAATCTCGATATCAAAAATATATTTCGAATAATTCTTGGACAGGTGGATTTTTATTATTGAAAATGGAATTTTTTACATATGAATTTCCATCCAGGAGGTTGACAAGGGGATGGAAACTTTTATGTCAAAAAATTAATTGATCTTTGAAAATAAAAATCGACCTGGTACGATGATTTCTCAAAATATATTTTCCTTATGAAGATACGGATTTAATTCTATCACAGGTATCAGCTGTATTAGCAATTATACCTAGAATATTCAATTATATTATCACTCGTGAAATCTGTTGTTTTCGAAGATGCAATTTGGATCATCGCGATAGTGCATAAGTATAATTTTCTTATTACGATGTTATCAAGAATTCACCATTTCACCATCTCCGGTTTAGTTGAAGTGAATCCATCTTTCTTTTTCAAATAGAACACCTATGAAGTTATGGAGAATTCTTGAAACTGACTTTATGAGAGACTACATGAGAATTTTTTTTCAAAATTGCAAGCTTTTCATTTTATAATTATCCAAGGTGGACATTTGATCATACAAGCTGATTGACGAAAAGCCCTATTTATTGTCCGATTTCAATGAACTGAATACTAAATGGAATTATAACTCTTCGAATACTTAGAGCAAGTACTAATTCCATTTTTTCATTCAACTCCAACTTCGACGTCAGCAAATACATTGAGGAAACATTGATGCATGATTGAACTACACACAGAGAGTATCGGTCCAACTCAAAGGGAAACTCCATTTAATCAGTACTGTTAGATGATGATGATTATCAAATAGACTGAAACTATTAGATTCTCAATGGCTGACAATCAGCTCTCCTGTCAGCGATATGATTGCTTTCCAGTTCCAAATTTCAATTCGTACTCTTTTACAGGTACGATTTTCAGTGCGAAATATTTGGAGGCAGAAAAAAAGAATGCGAAAAAAATGTCAACAGTGTTTGCCAAGAGCTTAGCTAGGTCAGCAATGCCACCTCAGTGTCTCGACTGTGAATGTACCGCTGCTGATACAGGCATTTCATACATGGAGTGTTTCATATGCACCATGACTAATTCTACAAGACTAAATTTTGAGGTAAATACAAGAACATTTAAGATAGAAAGCATGAATGCTTATCGAAGGTTTTTGTCATTACATTTTCGATGCATTCATTTGTTGGTATATAAAGGGTGTCCGGAAAGGTCATGCCGTAAATTATAGGGCTGATGGAGTAAGCCAAAATAACGTCAGTACATCAAATAAAAAAATGTCGATCGAACTTCGTTACGGAGTTATTGACCTTGGAAGTTTGAATAAAAAAATATATTTTGACCAACTTTTAAACGGTTGCCATGGTATCAATGACATTCTGACAACTAAATTAACTCATACTAATGATCCTTTCGATATGTAAACGGCTGATTATGTTTTAGACAGGATGGAACGAATGTTTTCCTTAATGGAGGCATTTTTGACAGAGGCGACAAATTTGACATTTTGCTTCCACCGTTTGATTCTTTCATCATTTTCCTACAAAAATAGTATACTTTATTTTGATCGATATCTTATACCGTTGTAGAGAAACTTGCATTTCGAAAACATACATCACAACCGTTTCAAAGGTAATAAAAACTCTATTTATTCAATAACATAATGGTAGTTGCAGTCAGTCATAATTATCGACATCAAATTATTTCGACAGCATATCATACTTTCATAGCACCATGGATGAGTTATGAGTAATGATGAGTACGCATATGTAGGGACTTGGAGAAACATTCAAGGTCAATATCTCCGTGACCTTTTCGGTATTTGTAACATGCTGGTCGGAAGTCGCAAGGAATCGGTACAAAAATTGACCTTGAAAAAAATGACATTCGACATAAAGAAGTAACTTGTTTTGACCTGTTGAACTTGAATATGAGAAAATATACAGGGTGTTCCATTAAAAACAAAGTTGATGGCATTTCCGGAAAAACCGGAATTCCCCCATATTGGATGTGATCAAATCCGAAATGGTTCCTTATATAACTGTACCAAATTTCAGAAAAACTCGTTTATGAATAAAGAAGTTACAGGGGTGGCCCGATGCCATGTGTCACCCGGTATATCATCTCATCTCGATTTCATATTATAAAGTACCAATTTGAGATTTTCAGTCATACCACGAATACCGAATATCGCGAATACGTTGTCTATACACCGACTTATATACAAATCTAGACTGCCAGTTCTATAAGAAAAAATGTGAGTCACTCAGGAGATCGAACTGGTAAAATCTATTCATGCGCATTTAGGATATGTCCTGTTACACTCATAAATCCGAGGAATATGGGCGTATCGAAGCATAAAAGGTTGGGAGAGGTCTACTATGGAAGGTTGATAAACCATACATAAAGTAGTGGGAAACGAATGAAATATGCCGTTATTCAGGTCTCATAGCATCCAAATAGTTAGATTTGAGAACGTTATTTCAAAAAACGGCGAATTTGCATGTGGTTTCAATATCGTGGATTTGCCTGAAAGCATAAGAAAGCCGTCTGGCGTAAAATGGTCTGAACATAATTATCCTTCCTGGATGGTTAAGGTACAATGGTCTCCTAATAGCCACAAACCATTAATTTCTCATATTCTTAGAAATGCTAGAATCATTATTGAATGAGTAAAGTGTTAATCCATAATCGTCTGAAATGGATGAGCAGGTATGGCACCTCACGCCTGAACTCAAATTCTTCACAGCTGAATGAATATACAAAACATGCATGATTCGATTCGATTTAAATACTTGCTCAACTGTTGAAAGCAAATTAACATAATAGATTAGTCGTCACCCACAAACTCACCGATGATAAGAAACATCTTTAGTATTATTAATCGTGGAATTCCTACACCAAAGAACATAGCACTTCATATTTCCTAGGATTGGCGAAAATAAAACGAAAAAATTAATATCACCACGCGATTTCGATCTTATTTTTATTGAGCTGATCCCTGATGACATAAACAAAACACTTAAGCCGATGCCATCCACACATTCCAGTGGTCGCAAACCCATGTGTTGAGCTACTTTAATAAATATGGAATAACGAGTCGTGACCGCCGTAAGACATCCTAAATGAAATAATGCATATTTATATTCGACATGAATTTGTTTTACTTATTCTATTCTTGAAATTTCAAATTTATATACTGTGTTTTATCGAAATTGCCTTTGCGAGATATACAGATCGCAATCGATACGTTGGCGACCACTGTTATTTTACACAAGATGATTTTTTTACAGGTACTTGGACTCGACGATGAGGACATGACCCTTTTTGATGGATTCAATTTTTAGATCGTATTGTACATCAACTTACATATAATATATAAAAACGTTGTAAATATTTTCAGATAAATAAAAATAAAAAAAATAATTGTTGTTGGAGATCTCGACTTGTAGAAGAAGTACCAAGGACATATTATTGCGGAGGAGTGCTCGATGAAGGTCGTCAATTAGGTATATTAACGCTACCCCACTGTCAACCATGGTAATATTATATTTATATGATACATCACCAGAATTATTCACGTACATCACTGTCAAATTCGTGCTTGGGTTGAATCTGAGAATAAGATCCTCTTGCCGTTTCCGTTATTTCAGAGATTACAGGAAATCTTATCAATCAAATTCAAGAGAGAATTATAATTAACGTATAAAGTTGGATAGATGAAGTATTGATAGTAGGTGTTGTTATTGCCTTTCGGAGAGTGGTTCGAATTTATCAAATGAAGTAGAAAGGTGCTTTTGTTTTGCCGAACGTCAAAATCCTATACGTTATCAATTCCACATTTATTTGTACACGAATTGCTCATAAAAACAAATCAGCTAGTTAGGTTCATAGATTACAAATTTGATAATGTATTAGTAAAAATTGTATTGATTGGAAATAATACTCTAGCCCTTAATCCCTATTCAAATAATTCATGAAGGAAAACATTGAACACGTATCATGTGACTGAAAATACAAATTAGACATCGTATCCTTTCTCGATTTCTGATGTTCAGAAATTCGAAAAAAACGGGATATTAGTATTCTAGTAGAGGAGTTCGTGCAAACCTCGGTACCTATAAGGTCGAAAGTCGAGCCCAATGGGAATAAACGAAACAACCTTTTGCATGGCAACGAGCTTTGATTCCGCAGAAAGTTGTCCTCTATTGCTGTGCTGGACACACACCTATAAATTGAATCTCGCCAAATTTATTTCAAGAAATTTATGGAATTAACCAAGCAGGGCCGTTTTTGTTAAAACGAAAATCATACGGAAATATACCAATAATGTCGTAGTTTGATAGACTGTAGTTTTCAGACATTGAAAGATACAACTAGTATGTTCTCTCAGAACTCCCTTTACGGTGATATCTGTGTTTTATGAATATATGAGAAATAAGACCAAATACTAAGTTGAATGATATCCAGAGAGTCCTTTTTATTCCTCTCTTGGAGCCTTTATCTTTCCGGAAACCACACACAAATTCTTATTCATTAGGACATATTATTATAATGTTGACACATCTATACAACACTCAAATAATATACCTCAGAATTTTACACACCCACACACACACACACACACACAGTAGCTTCGTCAGGTGATATACTGGTACAATGAACTGAACTAAATGACTATACATATTTACATAGTAATAGGAATACAATTCCATTTTTCGATAATTTCCTAGAATACATACGTCATCAAGAAATGATTCTTGAATAGTATTGCTATACTACTGCTCTAATGTCGTAATCTATAATTGATTCATAGATTTTTATGGAAAACCCAGTATTATACTCCCAATCGGCATGGTATGAGGGTTATTGGTATTTTTTTACTTAATATATGAATGAAATATTTGGAATTTAGCAAATTCAAGGGGATAGTATTTAATCGATAGGTTGTTTCGTTGAAAATACAGATGAGGCACCGTTTTTTTCCCTTATATAGAAATCAGAAAAATATATTCAGAGACAAATAAGGTAGGTGCCGAGTAGACCATCTCAAGTAGAGAAGTTATATGGCTGAATTTTGTCAATATTATTGCAAAACTGTTGAAATACCCTGTATAAAAAATGCAAACAGAATTCAGCAAGTGTGAAAACGAACATAAAATGGTAATTCGATACCTTTTGGTATCAGCTAATACATCTTAGGCAGAATAATTTAACCATTTCTAGTCGACCATAAAGGCTCATCACCATTTTCTACACAAGCGGAAGAAAAAATCAATACTGATGAGGTTTATACATATACACTCACCGGCAAAAAAAGCTGGCAACGAAACAAATTTGCCCAATTCATCGCCCTGTAACTTCCTTAATTCTTGTCCGATTTTGGTATAATTTCGACCAATTCATAGATTAATGTTTCGAAATGTTAACCTGAATTTTTGTTTCGAAAAAGATCTGGTAGATTGATCAGTATACAGATACAGTGTGTTACAATTTGATCCACCCCACCCCTGTGCTTTCGTATTCCTAGAGCGATTTTTTTTGCTCGACTCAGTAGATGATTATGAAAAACAAAAAATTTTTAAATCGTCCCAGGGATACGAAAGTACAGGGGTGGGGTGGACCAAATTGTTACACACTGTATGTAGTCAACCTTCAACCTTCTAAAACACGACTATAATAGAAACAACATGCACAAGCGATGATCTTACACCTATTATAAAAGATGATGTGAAGAGGAGGCTTTGATGCAAGAGGTGTAAATGTATAATCAAGATATCTCGCCTTGTTAATGGCATAGCGGGTGAACCATTCTTCATAATCTTCATCATCGAAGAGAGTTAATTTTTGTTGACGGTTTGTAGAGCGTAGAGCGGGCAGGTGTTCATCCAGCATTAGGCTGCATTAATCTGACCAGCGAATCAACAACTATATTTCAACGTAAACTAATCGCAACACGAACGTACAAATGCCATGTATATCTGGACAAATCTGAGATTTGCTTAGGTCTATATTATACCTATTATCAAAATGTTACTTTCCAAATAAGCGATGATGGGATATATTAATAGGAGACATATCCGAATTCGTAGGAAGACTTGGAAAATTGCTATAAAGAGCATTCAATATAAGGACCAGTTTGTGCCAGAAAGGGATAATACAAACATTACTTGGAATAGGTACTTATTACTGTCATCAACTTCAAATCTCACATGAATATTATTTATAGCGTGTCTGAGGGTGTTTCTCCAGCCAACTACCATATGAAATACCGAAAAGGCTATAATAATTTCTTTATGTATCGTCATATATTAAACCTAACATGTTTTCTGCGAAAGGATATACTCATGATACCGTGGCAGCCTTTCTGCAAGCACTGATGGGAGAGAAATTCTCTTGGTACACAATCGTTTCCTGAGGATGTGATACTTCACAAAATCGATTTAAGCAGACCCAGGTGATTCCAGGAGAGAAAGATGTTAATTGAAATCGTGACCATTGTTGTCTACAGATTAGTGAAATCGGTTGAATCAGTAAGAAGTTGCGTTTCTTGAAAGCGATTTATTATACATAGAATGCCAGTTCGTTCGAAAAGCTCAACATGCTCAAACAATCATTACTGATATGATTTTTTATGATCCAGTAGGAACATTAATCTCTTGCTCAATTAAAACTAACAGAAAGCTTGATTTACTGCTCCACACAAACGAACACAAAGCACAAATTATTTCTGAACATAGCCTAATCTGAGTGATCTCCAAATTTGTTTAGATTTGGTTCTGATTGTATGTTTTGATCGTTGATGTTGATCGAGAGAAAAGAATAAGTGATTAAAATGATGAAACCGTTGACATTATTTGAGGATGATATCCGAATTCGCGTCTATTATACTCGGTAATGTTAACAATTCTACTTTTTTTTGCCATATTTATACATTATTGTTGCATTTTTCTCCATTTCCTGTGTTTTTATTTGTCATCCAACTTGATCGATCTGATCTGATTTTTCTGCTCCCAGAAAATTCGCGGAGCAAATAAATCCTGTTTCAAGTGATCTATGGCAACTTGCTCTAGTCAAACGAATACTCAGTCATCAATTGCTCGGAACAAACGAACATCAAATATTGCTCTCATCACTTTTCAGCAGGGTGAGCATGACAAACGAACAGGCCCAAACTTTGAAGGAGTGGACCACGGAACTGATAATCTGTTTCCAGTTGTTAGGAGATTGGAGAATATGTTAAGAAATCGAGCAAAAATGAATCCTTTCGTGTTAACATTATCCATCAGTTTTCTACGTATAATCTCTTACCTGAATTTTTCATTCAATTTCCTGATAAAAATTTCCTCAAACACAAGTCGTTCATATGGAATTACTATTTGTGCCGCCGCTATTATATGTACTGAATGCTTGTGCCAACAATTCCCACATGTCGTAACGACAAAATAACACTTTCAACTTCAAAACAAACAATTGAACTATACCACAGCTTTTCTATGTATGTGAGCATCGAACTCTATGTCTACTTGGTTGCAGGTGCAATGACTCATTGATGAAATATTTTCTGAAAATGCTGGTTGAATCAGGATATTCCCCAAGAGAGGAACTTTGATGAAATATTGCAGGCGCTCTTTTCCATTCGCTACACAGTTAAGAGAGAAATTATGCGAGAAAAAAATCTATCAATTCAGTCGACAGTTTTTGGTGCATTATTCAATAATAATATATGTCCAAACTGGTTTAAGTAAACTGAAGTGAATAAGTGGAAGGATCAAACGATCGGTAGAAATGGTGGTGAGACGATGTGGAATAAGTAATGTACGGAGATAGAATACTAAGTAAAGAACAACTACACGTGTTCGAGAGATCGATGTGATGACCTAGCAATACGGATTACGGTTCATCCCGATTTTATCGACATTAGGAGGGCTGCAAGGCGCTGATGCTCCCATCTTAAATATATTAGTTACCGTCGAGCTATTTTCACTGACAACGAGCATTTTGTGAGATTCGAAATGGCGAGACCCCGACCGAGTATCGTTCCTCGAAAATCACTTACCCTGTTCCGACATATTATCATTCTATAATCGCTCACCACCTTACAACGGAGCTATTCCATTTCCATTTTCGATTGCGATCCTCCGACTTTCTTTTTCTTCCCTAGCTGAATGAGTGATAAATGTTTCACGAAGCCAGATGTCATGTAATTGAATTTTTTATAATTTTCAAATGTTGTACGTTTATACTCATCGAAGGTTAGTATAAAATTTCTATGAAAGTTTTCTCAAGTAATATGAAGAATATTGTTGCATGCAAAATGCTCGATGGTTTCTTTCATCTGGTTCCC